AAATGTAGGGTGAAGTAGTCTCACCTTTGTTGTTCAGGTTAGTATTGCTTGGAGTAGGCAGTATCCAGTGTCCCTAATAAACATCAATAATGCAGACATGCTTCTGCCCTAACCTACATTTGGTAACATAAAAGAACCTCTAATTGCAATCCATTCCAATATAGAGAAGAATATATTGCAGTATCAGTTCCACATATTACTTCTGATAAAAACTGCAATGTTCTGCAGAAGAATAATGGAAATATAAATGTAAATTCATAGCTATAGGCTGTTCCAATGTCATAATTAACCTCGTTACTATATGTTTGTGTGTAGAATTCTCCGTATGAAGACCCATGATTTTATAATGCAGGATTCTGCAGACAGTATTTGTATGAATAGCCCGTATTTTTATTGATGTTGCAGCGCAGTTTTACTTAGCACAGCAACTTCTCAATATTCCTTGCATGCTGAAGTATATAAATAACTTAATAGGACGTTTGTGTGGCTTTTTTTGTAGCTGACAATATATCATGCTTACATAGGAAGGGTTTTATTCAGCAAAGATTCAATATTCTTGGGACAAAAAATCGTTACAAAATTGGGTATTAAAGACTCAGTGTTAGCAACAGTTAATCTTCCACCAAGTTATTTACATCATATTAGACTAAAACCACTGAAGGATTGATAGTGTTTTTTGCTTTTATCTTTATTAGGTATCAATTTAAGGGAAAAAATAGTGTGTTGTATTTTCTATGTGCAATATGCAACTGTGTGTTTGAGATGCTTCTAAAAGTCGATAATTGCAGCAAAATATATCTTTTCATGATTTCTAAATATGATTGTGGAGAGAGATTGTACCTGAATTTAGGTAACTTGCAAAAGATTCATGATGGGAACACAGGAAGTTATTCTAAGGGGAATAGATAGATTTTAGATGTTACTACAATGGTTTTGCCTGAACAGCACCATCTATACCACAAAACTGTGTTAAGTTTATTGGAAAGCAAATAATTATTTCTGCAAGGAAACATGCGGTTATTTTCAGGGCAGTGTTCTTCATCCTTCTCTTTTATGGTTTATTCTTCTTTGTTCCTTCATCATTATAGCATCCGGTTTCTTTGTAGAGTCAGCATGGGGGATGATCAAAGCCATGTGAGGCAAGAAAGCGACACTAATTTGAAGCTAGGGGCCAGTACGATGGTGCCCTTGAGAACAGGTGAGATCAAGATAGGTGGATGGTTTTAAAAGGAGTGCCAAAAAGTCATTTGAAGAATGAGGTGTTTTCAGCATTTTGAAAAATATTTCCCAAACCCTCTGATTTTATATTTCCTTCATTTCAGCAGAACATCAATTTTCAAGGTTTTCTGGGAAAAGCAATCATTAGCAAGCTATTGTCAAGAGGAAGAAATAAAAATAATAATCTTGGAAGAGCCAATTGACATTAGTGTAGAATTACTATCTTGTCTTAGCCATGTCCTGGAAATATACATGGGCATTTTGTTAGTTAAACTGAACTGAATTGGATGGATTTGATAGTGTTAAATGTTGTAAGAACCAGTAGTAATTTATGTCTTGCCATAATGTGCAAGATTTATTTGCATGATGTAATGGAATATATATTTACATGATGTGATGGAATTCACACTAATTTACCATGCAAATTTAAATTCTGTAATTGAACTCTATGAACATGTCTGCTATAGATAACAATGCCTAGATATTATCCATTGGGTTTTTTAAAATCTAATTTGGCACTCCTTATAATTCATCTATTTTGATCTCACTTGTTCTTAAAAGAAACATTATAGTGGTTCCTAAGTTCAAATTAGTGTTACTTTCTCGCCTCACATGGCTTTCATCATGATCTTATCTAATCCTCCTACCAAAAAAAAAAAAAAAAAGTAAAGGAGTCTCTGCAGATTTTACTCCGCTAGTTCTTGCCGACTATAGAGTGCAGTGCTCATCTCCGTTTCAAGGCCTTTGAGCCAGTGCTGGCTAAAGACATTTCCGCGGTCTTGTGGCCAGCATGACATCATGGAGTGCTGTTACCTTCCCACAAAAGTGGTACCTATTTATCTACTCAAATTTGCATGCTTTTGAATTGCTAGGTGGGCAGGAGCTGGGCCGAGGACGGGAACTCACCCCATTGCGTGGCGCTCAGGTCTCAAGTCTGGGGTGTTGGGTTTCCATCCAACAAGCCCAGCTGAGCCACTGTGCTTCCCTCCTCCTACAAAGGAGTACAACCAATTTCTCTTGGAAATGTATTTCCAGACTTACTAAGCATACTATTTAAAATAAGGAACCAATAATAATTATAATTCAAATTAAGAATATCTGTCTATCATTTATATCTTTGACTATGTGTATGTGATAAACTAAATACACTTGACTGTAAGAATTAATTTTGATCAATGTATGCTTGGAATAGACAGAAGGTCATGGCGAATAGCAGTGCTAAAATCCTGTGGGTCTTCCAAATCTAGATAGGCAGGTACTGGCAACTCAAGCAGACATTGTGGTACTAGACAAGGACTAAAAGATAGTGTTGGTGATAGATGTAACAGTGACAGCAACATCAGGAACAACCAGTATTGGAGAAGTACCAGGTCTGAAGGACAAATTGGAGGAGATGTGGAAAGTAAAGGCCAAAGTGTTCCCAATGGTTGTAGAGCACTTGGGACTGTGGTTCCTAAGCTGGAAGAATGACTTCAACAGATCCCAAAGAGAACATCAGAACTCTTTGCCCAGAAGAGGGAAGTGCTAGGAACAGTTAACATGCTGAACCCGAAAACTCCCAAGCCTATGGTAGAGCACCCAAGATTGAGAAAGATACATACAACCCATAAGGCCATTTTAAAAATAGCTTCATATCTCCCTTAACTGTGAGATGGCTATTTAATTTATTCATAATATATTGAGTTTCTTAATGGAGCTGTTTAGAACGAAATTTACAAACGACTTTAGGATTCTTGAAATAGAAATTCCTATTTGGATTGACCATCATCTTTAAAGCTACACATAGCAGAACATAGGATATAACCAGCAACAGCATCAAATCTGCCCATCCAGTTTAATCATCTAGAGAATGTCTATTGAGAGTTCCCCATAAGAAATATGTGCAGTCCCCATTGGGGCTTTACTTAGGTGGATTTTGACTACGCCTCTTTTGATTGAAGATATCTATCATAAGCTTTGGTTTGGGTTTTATTGCCAAGATAATGTTTTTCTTTTTTGCTTGTTTTAATATTCACTCATAGCCTTTGGGGATTGGGACAAATTATAATAATTGTTAAATAAAAGTTTTTAAAAAGGTCCAGCACCATGTAGTTTTTAAGAATGAATTAGAACTGTGAAGGCCCACTCTGAGGATTTATTGAGTGATCCTAAGTAACTTAGGATGAGTCTTTAGCTCATTGTTGTATGGGAAAATGTGGAGACAAGAGAGTTGTGGCTTCTTTTGGGGAAAAGTGGGATAAAAAAAAATGAATGTAACTGCTGCTGCTGATGCCATAATTAAGGTGGGACTGATTACATTCTCCCAACCCTTTTAAGACATGTCTAGGGTATTAGGAAGCTAATGAATAAATAATCTAAAATGCCTAAAACCAATAATTCGCAATAAACTTAAAAGTCAGGCCAACATTTATAGACAAGACATCCAGCAGAGAGCAGCCGAAAAAGCTAAATCTTCAACAAACAAGGGCAAATCAGAAACGTGGTGGAAGGCAAGCAATATCTCTAGCAAAGCCTGTCTGGATAATGGTTTCTAATGCCCACTTGTGCCACAGTTATCAGCTTTTACCCCTGGGAAATTAAAAAAAAATTAGGCATGCCCTGGATCATTGGATCTGAGCCTATGAACCCTAACTTTCTTAAGGCATGGTTGAAGCTTTGGTCTGCTCTAGTGATGTGTACATGAATAAGAATCTTGCTTTAAGCCACAATAATTTATCTGTGAAGTCAAACTAGTCTTGTGGATATAGAACTGCCTGAGCTGCCTTCATAAGTGTGTATATATTACATTATGGGAGTACTTCGCTTCCTATTTTGATAGAAGGAAAACTACTATACAGCCTTTAGGTTTTTATGGAAATGTTACTGTTTATTTTTCTTTCTTTGAATTACTAATGGTTCTAAAATCTGTGCAAAAACACATGAATAAACTCTTTAATGTTACAGATTATTTAGTCACAGCTGTAATAATATATTTATAGCATGAGATGAATAAAACAGGAAAAGCTACAACATATCACTCACTCTGGAACCTGGCTCATTCTGTGGGTGTATCAGGTTTTGCTTTTCCTGTTTCTAAATAACCATAATAAATTAACAGCTCCTAGGTTGTGTGTGTGGATGTTGTGTGTATAAACAGACGAAGAATGTAGAAATGCCTTTAGGCTGATGACTTCTGGAAATCATGGTGTATAAATACATGAAGTTTATTTATGACACTGCCAACAACAATTTATACATGACCAGTTGTTTTTGTAGCATTGCAATATAATGAGGATATATAATTAAGTGGAGACTTTTTTTTATTATCCAAAAGAATATTTCTGTTGTTCCTGTTAAGTATTTTAATATAATGCATGCTAGGAATATATAGCAAAATCACAATTCAGGAGATTGTGTCTCTAGAGAAAACGCTTGAGAACAGCTCAGCAGCACTCATAGAAATCTTCATAGCCACAATTGTATTTTGCTAATCTCCTAGCATTCTTCTTCCTAGGGTCACCCCATAGCAACTAGAGGTTCCTTCTTATGATCTTTCCTTCATGCCCTTCATAACTTTTCTTCTCCTTCAAGTAGCAACCAGGGTATTGTAGCTTTGAGGCCTGGCAAGTTACTGGATGCCAAAGGGCTTGGTCTTTGATTAAGTAATATTTTGGTAGAGTTGCATGGCAACCCAGCATTAAGCAGAGCTTGACAAATATGTAGAAAGCTCTTTAAGAGGCCAGGAAAGGCCAAAACAGTTCTTCATTTTATGAGTGTTCATTGTATCTTCTTTTCCCATCCAGTAAGGGGTTGCCTTCAAGTTCAACGTTCACTTTAGAAGACAGTGCCATCTGCTTGACTTCAGAACAGAGCACGGTGGAAACTGAGACTGATAATGCCTCTGTCCTGGATGTATATTTAGTAAGTTGTCCAAATCATGTTAGTAGTGTTTTGATTACATTTTTAAAGCATTTACGTTTCAACTTAACTTTGAATCATTGTGTGTTGTAATCTGCTCATAGTATAGTGTAAATATTTCATTCCATAATCTGGAAAATGTAAAGTATTTGCCAAGCTATCTCTTTATATTTTCACAACATTGATAATGTAGGATGCTCTAACTTTGAGGACCTGCATACATAATGTTTATGTCCTTGTTTGATAACGGGTTTATTTTTTAGCTCAGGAAATGGTTTTCAAGTAAAGCATTAGAGTTTTGCAGAACCATGGGTGAATCCATTTTCCACAAGTGGGAACTCTCAGTTTATCCCACCACACAATTCTTGTCTCCTAAGCACTTCTGAGTCTTTGTGTTTCAAGGATCTCAGTAATGAAGACGACCATGGGCCATCTGGGAAGTGTCTCTGATCATTGGGGGGGGGGGTAATCTTTTCATCTCTTTTGTAGCTGTGGTGGAACTAGCAGATTGGTTATTCTTACGGGTTATTCTGTTAATTTCCAAGAGCCTTTCATTGCCATTCGCATATTCATTAAAATAGATCATGTTTGGGAAAACTACTACCTCAAGAGTAAGTGTTTCTTGACACTAATGATTATATTTTAAGAAATAAAATATACCTTTTTGGAGGAAAAAAAAAAACACAATACAGATTTAAGGGAAGAGGAAGCTTCTGGCAACTGCCTGTGTCAACACTGCCTCTATATTCAACATGGCAGATGTCAGGACATTTGAACCCATTTTTAATTTTTATTAACCATAACAGTTTCCTGCAGGGGAACTGTAAAAATATAGCATAATACAGCCTTCTGCTCAGGAAGTTTTTCTTCAGTGTTTTAGTTTTGACTGATTGTAACTACCATACTCAGAATAAATACAGTTTGTTACTTAGCTGCAAATCCATTCTATCAGCTACTTTAATTTGGGACTTCTCTTAGAGAGTGTGTGTGTGTGTGTGTGTGTGTGTGTGTGTGTGTGTGTGTGTGTGTAAAACTGAGTAAAAGCATTTCTTGTTTGTTGCATGAGAAAGAGAGAAAAGGTCATTTTTATGTTGATATGCGCTGAAAGGCCTATGTTGATACTTCAGTGTTTCATCTTGAGAAGCAAACTCAAGAGTTTGTGTGAGTGACTTACTTTTGAGACTAAACACAGCAGCCTCTTCTTGAGTCAGAGTTTTCAGCAAAGCAACAAAAAGTGGAAATCACCAATAAGCAGTCTTTGTTTTTGCTCTTTTGTCCAAGTGTTAGCATTCATATACACAGGCACCCTAGTTACTCTGAGTGAAAAGCTTGATCCGAGCAGCCAAGATTCTGTTTAGAAATCTTTGCTTTCATTTTGAAGCAAAACATTATCCTAAGATGATTTAGTATCTTTTTATTTTGACTCTCTGAATGCATGAATACAAAATAATTCACAGTAAATTCAAGGCATATAGTAGTAGAGAAAGAACATGAAGTAAAAAAGCTGAATAAAACGAGTCAAAAATTCAATACCATTAGATACGTATGGCCAAACATAGAAACTCAGGGGGCCTTTTTATCAAGTTCTGTCATCATTGGCTGTGGTATGCATCACTACTGGAGGTATTGATAACCAAATAATAATGAGTAGCTTTCAAATAGAGTTGATTCCTGGCGATTCCTGGCTATATTCTCTGAACAGTTTTTCAAGCTGGTCCTTTGTGGGATAAGGTCAAATCGTGCATGCGTCAAATCTAATAATTTCATTGCAAGTATAGAATAATTCAGTTGTAATTATAACCATCAACCTCTTTATCAGTTATTTTGCAAGATTAAAATTAGTGTTGCAGCTATTTTGTGAAGTGAATATTATAAGGCTGTTTTCAAAACTAGAACCTTCTAAAAATCTAAGTCTTCAAAGAAACAGTAAACAAGTTGCATGTTAAACACAACGCTGCCACCTATTGCTGATAAAATAGCACAGGCATCTTTTATTTGACTTGATCTGTCGTTCCTATACAGGTAGGTACAAAACGTCTAACTTACTGTTTGCCCGGAGAGTTCAGAACAAAGCAACAATGTACTGCTACTTATTCCAATGAATCAGTTTCATAAGTTCAGGGTTTTTTTTTAAAAAGTATTTTTTAATTTGTAAATGTAACTGCACTACGGTAGTCCTCAAGTTACGACCACATTTGAGCCCAAAATTTATGTTGTTAAGTGAAACATTGGTTAAGTGAGCTTGCCTCATTTTACGACTTTTCCTGCCACAGTCGTTAAGTGAATCATTGCATTTTTACATAAATATCATGGTTGTTAAGTGAATCTGGATTCCCCATTGTCTTTGCTTGTCAGGAGGTCGCAAAATCTGATCAGGTGACCCCAGGACACTGCAACCGTCACAAATATGAACCAGTTGCCAAGCATCTGAATTTTGATCACGTGACCCTGGGGGAGCTACAATGATCGTAAATGTGAAAAACGGTCATAAGTCACTTTTTTCAGTGCCGCTGTAACTTTGAATGGTCACTAAATGAACCATTGTAAGTCGAGGACTACCTGCATGATTGTTCTCCATATAAAGCTTTTTATACCTTTTAAACGTAAAACAGTTGTCTGTTTTATATTTAAATGGGGCAAAATATGGGTTTATAATTTTCAGTTTTCAAGCATTAATTACCAACATGATCTGCTAGTTTTATAACCTACTAACACAATTCCAGCTGTCTTGGCCTTCATATAGGTGATATAAAAGTAAGAACTCCAACCCTAAACAACATCAGTAAAAACAGCATAATACACAAATCTATTAAAGCTAGGTGCCCCTAAAAATGTAGAATTCTGTTAGTGTTAATTATAGAGTCATCAGCAATATAAGTAACGGAATAGATTGGCGAAGCTATCAGTACCCACATCCAACTAATAAGGCCTTAGATTTGAACAGTAAAACAGCTTCATTTTCTTTCGTATATAATAAGAAAATTCTCTCTTTGTCTAATTCCTTTCCTTGCCCATTAATATATATATTCTCACTCAGGGCTTTCCAGGTTTCATTACTTTCTCCTTTATATATATTTTAGTTTCACAATCTCCAGGAAAAGCTGAGATAAAAAATCTAGATTGACATGCGTTTTCAGATATATATCTCAGCAGCCTCTCTAAGATAGAAAGGCTCTTTAAATCAGTGGTTCTCAACCTTTTTAATGCCGCGACCCCCAACCGGTCGTAAGTCGAGGACTACTCAACCGGTCGTAAGTCGAGGACTACTCAACCGGTCGTAAGTCGAGGACTACTCAACTGGTACAGCACCGTTTGCAGAATGGGACTTTTGGCGGGCTCAGCAGGGCAAAGACAGCCTGGACAATTCCTATTGGCTTTTGAAAGCCAATAGAATTAGACTCTATTCAAGAGAGTCTATTCTATTGGTTTTCAAAAGCCAATAGAATAAAAGGGAGTAGCACAGCTAAGGAAAAGGGGAAAAAATGGCGGACTGCGTTGTTTGCCGACCCCCGTGAAATGGTCATTCGACCCCAAATGGGGTCCCGACCCACAGGTTGAGAACCACTGCTTTAGATACTGAAGTCTAATACTGAACTGATTTTTTGAAAGACATTTAAAATATTGATACCCTACCTGACTTTACATATCTGAGTTTGCAATACAGTGTATTGTGCATTACTTGAAGGATACTCCAATCTATTCAGTACTTCCATTGCTAATGGCTGTATAATTAACTTAAGCACAATTCTCTATTTTTAGGGGCTTTATGAAGTGGTTTTCACAGATTTATGTATTGTGTTGGTTTTTAAATGTTTTAATTGTTGATTGGGAGCCACCCAGAGTTCAGCATAAGATGGGTAGCTATATAAATTTATTTAAATAAATAAAATATCTTTAACCTCCCCCATGAGTTAGGAATGCATTTTCTCTTAATAGTACTACTACATCTGAAGGGTGTCAGGCTGGGAAGGGTTTTTCTAGTGTATTGAGTATCACAATACTGCTATTCATGTGTAGTTACTAAATAATCTGTTATGTAGTAGTATCATCAATATCTCATATATTATCTAATTATGTTGCACATTATGTACTATGTGACTCATGCCAGGAACCATGAATGGTTACCAACATTTTCAGTATAATTGAGTATAATTTATAGTTGCTGGGTACATTTTTTTTTTTTTTTTTTTGAGCAGCATTAGATTTCCAACGTGTCTCCTAACATTTACTTTTCTGTTAATGTAGTTGGATTGATTCTACCACAAATACTAAGTTCATTTAAGGCTATAAAAATAGCTTGATGGGGTTTTGGGGGGAGATGTTGTTTTGTTGTTTGTGTTAGTTTGTAAGATTTTTTTTTACATAACGTTTTAAATAGCATCACAATTTTTTAACAAATACTAGAAGTCTGTGCAAAATTTAATTTAAAACTGAATATGTTAATATAGTTCATACCAATGTGACAAAATTAATGTGAAATCATATAGTAAAATGTTTCGACCTCACAGAGTTTAAGTTTAGTACAATAAGCTTTGTCTAAAGCAGAAGAGAAACATTGGTATTGTTAAAAATAGATGGAGAAGAACCACCTTGGAAGTCAGACTTTCTAATGGTTTTAATTCTGATGGTACAGGTGATATTATATTGTGGTCCCACAACCAGTCCTCCCAGGAGTAGGGCAGTACTGTCCTTCAACTCAAAGATACTACCTTCCTGAAATAGACAAGCATGTTTTTCTAATAGTGTATCACACGAAAAAAGAATGATATCTTTATCAGTTTGATATTGAGTGACTTTCATTTTTTACCAAATAGTTTTCTACTATAGGCAACATGTTTTTATTTTATTATTAGTGTATATTTTTGTTTCTAAAGATTGAATATAGGGCAAGATAATTTATTACAGGAAGCCTTTTTTTTTCAGTGTGTATCCCTCTGTGTACTCGTTAACCTGAAATGGCTGCAGACTTTGTCACATGTAACAGAATTGGAACAACCACTGAAAAAGAGTGAGCGACAAGGAGAGAAAAGGAAGGCAAATATACATATAATTGAGAACAGAGCATAAAAACATCCCAAATATTATTATTGTGCCAGTGGAGTTTTAACTGTCAAAGTATTACTCAAAAATTAGTTTCTAATGTGTACCATTTTGTGTTTTTAGAAGAAGAATAGATTGCAGCAGGTAGCTGTCATTAATGTATAATAAATATACAGTATTAAAACACGGTGTGGTTAACTATAGAAAAGCTGATCTATAACTATCTTAAGACAAAAAGCAGTGCACAAAGGCAGCAAAACATTTTACAGCCTTACATGTGTAAGAAAATGGATTCCTGAATTTTGTTCTTTTGTAAAATGTTTTCTTTTCTTTTTACAGTAACAGAAGATGAAAGAAAACGAGCATATTTTAATAAATGCACTTTCTGCACTCCAGATTTATGTGGAGAATTTTTTGTTCAGCCTGGTAAACAAAGTCTTAATCATCAGAGCTCTACAGAAATCATCAAAGCGGCTCATGAACTGTAGACATCCCACCCTAGACTCAGCAGATGAAATGGGAAACATTCCACAATTAATCATGGCCTGCTGTTGCCTGCTCAACTGTGAAGCCTTGCCTCTTCCATCCTTTTAGCTGCTACTCCTACTTTCCTATTGTCTTTTTAGGAGTTGAAGGTGGTATTTTCACTTGCATGTATTCAGTGATCATGGACAGAAATATCTAATCCTCCTTTCCTATTTAAAGAGCCATCTTCACAATGGTGACTATTCTATAAATCAGTTCTGCTTTTCTCCCCTTCCCCCAGAATTATGATTGCTCATCTGTTAATTTCATACAAGAGTTTAGTATGTCTGCACATAACTTTATGGAAACTATCTTCTATAAAGAAATTTTCACTGTTTATTAGTGAAATAAAGAAGCTATTTATAACAAAGCCTTATGTTTGTGTACATATATTGTCTTTGAAATATTTGTGATTAGATATATTGCTTGTAAAGGATAAATTACATAATTTATTTAGTATATTCTACTGTAAACTATAGTTTTATTGACAAATAAAGTATTTTGTTCTCAAAATAAATATTGCTGAAAGTATTTAAACTTAATGGATGTCTTTATTTGTATCAAATTCCATTTTTTTTAGGCTGCTATGGTACGTTAAGTGGGATGAGAGGGGAATTTACATAATCTGCTTTTTACACAGAATATGATTGCAAAGTGGGATGCTAAACCAAAATAAATATAAGGAACGGTTGCTGGAATTGAGTATGTCTAGTTTAACAAAGAGAAGGACGAGGGGGGGACATGATAGCAGTGTTCCAATATCTCAGGGGCTGCCACAAAGAAGAGGGAATCAAGCTATTTTCCAAAGCGCCTGAAGGCAGGACAAGAAGCAATGGGTGGAAACTAACCAAAAAGAGAAGCAACCTAGAACTAAGGAGAAACTTCCTGACAGTTAGAACAATTAATCAGTGGAACAGCCTGCCTCCAGAAGCAGTGAATGCGCCAACACTGGAAGTTTTTAAGAAGAAACTGGACAGCCATTTGTCCGAAATGGTATAGGGTTTCCTGCCTGAGCAGGGGGTTGGACTAGATGACCTCCAAGGTTCCTTCCAACTTTATCATTATTATTATTATTAAATAAGATTTCATGTTTTATTTGTCATGGAGAAGCCAATATGTAATTGACATTCCATTTGAGGAAATAATAGGACTTTAATTAATCTTAAATAAACCAACACAAATTTCAGATGCAGCTTAGGAATCTGGACAGTGAAATACAACATTTTTAAAAAATTTAAAAATGGCATTTAAAAATGTATGGAAACACACAGGATTGCTATGTTTGTAATGTGCATTCCAGAATTAGGCAGTTTTTATACATCATGCAAATATGGCCTAGACAAGTTTTTCTTCCTAGCTACAATACCTCAAAAACAATATTTATGGAAGACTACTGGGAAATATAAAACATGAATCAGTAGAACAGATTGTGTGTAACCTTTTCTCCATGGCACTTTGAACTCTATTATTTATGGCTTAGAAAATATTCTTTCACGGTAAGTGGAAGAATTCCTGATTTCTCTAACTGAAATCTTGTCTTGCAAGCCAGCTTTATGTTTGCTTATTTCTTCCAATATGTATTTATGCATAAATACATTATTTAAAAGCTTACATTAAGTATGTAAAGGCTCGGGTTTGCTTCCTAGTACATGGAATTTAAGCTTGTGGGAAAAGTATCAGCAAAACCATACCTGATACTGCATTATCATAAGATTATTCTGATCTAAAAATCCTAAAAATATATATAATTATGCACTAATATATCACACCTTTATTTTCTAATTCTATTTTTCTATGAGCCCTGGTGGTGCAATGGTTAGAATGCAGTATTGCTGGCTAATTCTGCTGACTGTCAGCAATTCGATTTTGACTGATTCAAGGTTGATCCAGCCTTCCTTCTCTCCGAGCTTCGTAAAATGAGGACCCAGATTGTTGGGGGCAATATCTGATTCTATAAACCACTTAGAGAGGACTGTAAAGCTTTACGAAGCAGTATATAAGTCTAAGTGCTATTTCTATTACATAAGGATTCTTGCCATGGATTGCAGAGAAAACAACACTTTTTTATTATATAACAGCTTTAGACATTAGCATTATCACAATTCCTTATTTCATCTATCCTTTTTAAACCTCCTTGGTCTGGCCGTACTGTTTGTTAGGATTTATAGAACTATATTACATCCTTCCCTTTGTTAGATAAAAACAAATTCTGGCTTTATTGAACGGTTCTCTATGGTTTCGTTTAACATGCTAGTTTCTCAATTTGTATCCTCATCTGCCTCTTCTATTATGCTGTTCCAAATGTACAGTGCATTCAGAAAGCTTCCAGACTCCCTTCACTTTTGTCAATGCTGTTATGCTGCAGCCTGATTCTACAGTTGTTGAAATTCATTTTTTTTTCTCATTAATCTACACTCAGTACCTCATAATGACAAAATGAAAACAGAATTGTAGAAACGTCCAACAACTAGAATCAGGCTGCAGCATAACATTGACAAAAGTGAAGGGGGACTGAATACTTTCTAAATGTACTGTATATAATTCAGAATGCACAGCTTCTATTATGGCATAAAAGTATATGTCTCAAGTTCTGTACAATTTGTTTAGTTTAATACACTACAATGGAAGAACAGGAATGGATTTCTCCCACAGAACAAGTACAGGAACAAATTCTTTATATGTTACAAGCGATTATCCAAACTCTTTGTATGCAAGCTCAAACTATGACTTCAACTTTCAACTAAAGAATCATCTATACAGAATTCTATAGAAAAAGGGAAACAACCAAATGCTGTGATAGAAGATTTAGATAATAAATACAAACAATGGAAAACACAAAAAGGAAACTGATAATAGAGAACAAGGAAAGGACTTTTCTTATAAACCAGAAGGAATTTGAAGATAAAAAAGAAAAACAGATGAAAGATAAGATAAATACTTTGGGACAACTGCATCGAAATGGAAAAATAAAGAGACGATCTGCTAAATCAGCTAGCCCTCTTAAGAAAACAACAATGGAACACCCTTATCAATATCAAACAATAGTCACAACAATACAAGGAGATCTTTTTGATGATTTAAAAGTGAAGATACGAAAGATGATTTGGCAGAGGAAAAAAGCTAGAATAAGACTGAAAGGGATTGGGGTTTTGATCTATACATGATATTTAAAATAGAATATATCTAAATGGATAGAATATATATTTTGAACATAAGATATTGTAATGATTTGAGATAAAAAAATTGGTTTTATAAAATCTAGAAATATAAATATCGAAATAAGAATGTTATATTGTCTTATTAGTTTGTTAAGATATATGGTAGAGCTTACATATAAGGTTTGTATTTTAAATATTAGACTATATGAGGAATGGTGATAAAGGAATTGTTCTTAATTAAAATTTGGAAAAAAAATAAATATTAAACGTTAAATTAAAATATTAAGGGAAAATTAATCGCCAGGTTATTGCTTTGCTAAAAGTTTGAATGTTTATAGATAACTAAGACTTCAATTTAAGATATTGTCATGAGTTGAGACACAGGACAAATAAAACTTAGAAGTATAAATACTAATAATTAAATTCGTATATTGGCTTGTGGTATAAATGCTGATGTTTATTTATTTATTTATTTTCTCTTTTTCTGGAAAGGAAGAAAGGAAGGAAAGAGGAAAAGAAAAAAAAAATATTAGCCCTAAATATGAGATAGGAGACTGAGAAATTGGAATCATTTAAAATCTGGAAATATAAAGATTAAACGTTAAATTTAAATATCAATGCGAAATTAAAGTTAAGAAAAACTTATTAGGTTATTGTCTAAAAGATGGAATGTCAAATTAATTAAGATAGGTATAGACTGAAGATTACTGATGAATACTAGAAAGGCATTTTTTGTTTCATTGATAGAATAAGAACTGTATTGATCTGAATATGACAGTAGAGTTTATGGGGGAAAGAGAGGGAATTTGTTGTTGTAATACTTTGAGATTTGTACTGATGATATTCAAATGTAATGGAATTACAGTGCTCAACCGCCACGCTACTTTTCAAATATGTAAATGTAATATTGGAAAATTAATTAAAAACTTGGGGGGGAAAAGAAGACTTTACTATTAGCTGGGTCTTATGCTCTATTATAAATGTATCATTGTGACATACTATAAATATAGATGAACCCAGGTGAGAACTAGACCAGGTGTTCTCTACTCATTGCTTGGGAAAAGATCCTCAGGGGAAAAGAGGTAGGAATGGCTAGGAGGATATATTAAACTCTTGGCCTGATGCATGGTTCTTTGGGAGACTCTGACAAGGTATTTAAGCCAGTCAGACTATTTACAAAAAATAATAATAAGCACTCATCATTTAAATAATTGCTTTCTCTGTACAGTAAGCATTTTATTTTTATTTTTAAAAAAAGCTGATTAAAGGAGTCAAGAATTCCACTTATCCTATTTTATTTTCAAGAACTATTTAAGTGCTGAACTGAAACCCTACCTGTCCAATCCCGCATTTTAAGCTGTGTAATTGGTTTTGGCAGCAGCCAGACAAATTTGTTTGGGTGTCAAAGCAAACCAGTTTCAGGATTGATCAGTTTGTGATTGGGAGACCACTGGGAGGTCTTAGGGCCACAGGTCTAGGCTCAATAGAAACAGAAAACTATTCTAGAAGAAGGGCAAACCACTTCTGTCCTATTAGCTGTGACTGTGTAGTTACCAGGAGTTGAGATTACACAAAGAGTCTTTAGCTTGCATTTGTATGGTTCTCAGAATTTGTTCAACTTGATTTTCCAAAGCCATAGCACATTGTTTCTTCCAAGATAATCTTTAAAGGGACACTAGATGACCCACGACCTGTTTCCTTACCTAAAAAGAGAAACAGGAATGACCACTAACTGCTAACAGCTGTGAAATGAGACAACTGCAGAGTTTTGGGTGTCTAATAAAGTGAATCACATTGTGTTTGCAGGGTGCAATGTCTCACTAAACTGCCTTGCAGAGGCCTAATTTACTTTTCCAGGCCCTATAATCTGAGAGCAAAATCAGTATGATGCAGAATGTTTTCCAATGCATATAATTATTCTAATCTAGTTACTTAGCATAAGGAAGGCAAACAACAACCAAGCACAGCACAAGAGAAAACAGCAGCAGCTATTCAAATAATTTGAATAGGATTTTAGCTCTGGTTAAGGCTGGATATTTAGCCACAGAACGTGTAATTAAAAAGGTGGTTTTCTTTTTGCATTCAATACACAGGATGACAAACAAGCCAGCCACATTTTAACCTAGCACATTGAAAGAAGACATGTTTACTGTATGGTTCAGTGTTTGGCATGAACCCAGTTAACTGGGATGGATAAACCATCCAATAACCATGGATAAACATCTCACAAACATATGTCCATACAACATAACTACATCACACTGTTGGAAGAAAGGTCTTCATCATGGTTCATCCAAGCTGGGAATAAACATGGCAACTGCTTTGGGAAGAAGGTTGTAGTTTATTGAAGAGGAGAGCCAGACAGGAAGATGGTTCTGGCAGCAAGAGAAGTGAAAAAAAGGGCTGAGCACATGTGGGAAGTGGATTTTTATACCCTCTGGAGCCTTTTGTTTGGAGTTATTTCCTGTTCCTGTTTTGAGGCTATTTCCTGTGTCATGTATTCTGACCTGTGTTTGGGTGTGCCCTTTGGCCTTTGAGAGTTAATCCTACCATGTCCTGTCTCAGGTGGGGTATGCAGATTTTAGGTCTTTGTCTTCCTAATCTCCTAACTCCAACTTTCCTGATGGTTTACATCCGCATTTGTACAGAGCTGGCTTCTGCTTGGGGGAGGGAGACCTGGCGCTATCAGGAAAAACTGGCCCTTTCTGCCTCTTTAAGATCCTCTGAGGAAATATATTTTTCTGCCCTTTTAATATTTCCTTCTCTGGGGGGCTGACTTCCCACAACACTTAAAACAATAATTCATTCTGTTTTTGTGCACAACACAAGTGTGCATTCTACACCATAGCTTATTGCTTAGCATGTTTTGTAAACCCTGTAAATTGTAGCTCATTCAAAATATATGATTAGATGGTTAGACCATTGCAACAGGTAACCTAGTCACTGAAATGGTAACTTTCTCTGTATTGTGGAAGTTTTATTTCATGTATGTTACCATGTAGTAGTAAAAGATACATAACTAATCAATGTGGCAGGAAGACCTTACAGGATGTTAAAGAAACAAAAGGTTGCAATTGTATTTTTTGTATTATATTGCACTGAAAAAGTCAAAAGTCACCACTTTTTTCTCTTCCTCTTTGCATTTTTTCTTTCTCAACTTTTTTTCTGTATTTTTATTTTATTGTAAGGTTTTCCATTTAGCCTCACAATTGTTCCAGCACCGTTCAGGAATTTAAAAGAGTAAAAAGAAACTCCTGAGCCGAGGTTTCAGCAAAGAATTACAACTTTATTTTGATCAAAACAGAGAGGGGTGGCTTCATCCCTCTTCGTGGCTGGTAGAGGAATGAAGGCAACAACCAGGTCTCTGTATCAGGAGCAAGGTAGCACAGAAAAACAATTCCAAGACGATGACTCATACACAGCAACCCAGGCTCCATCCGTAACTCCTTTTCCCCCTCCCCTTACCATGCTTTTTTCATGTAAGCAATCTCCTGGATGTTTAACATCTGTGATAAAAAAAAGCAAAAAAGCTAAAAAAAATGTATTAATTCAGAAGATTTTAAAGATTTATATACAAGTAAAGCCAGAGATGTTTCTTTTAGAACTGATTGATAAAAAGCTGAAAAAAAAAACCTTATGGAACCTTTTTAAAATAAATATGATAACAGCAGTGATACTTTTATATGTACAATGGTGGAAAAAAATGATACTATCCACAATGGCACAGGGGATAGTGAACATGATGAAACTTATTGAAATGGCAAAACTGACCATTTTGATTAAAGACATGGATTCATCTTAATGCTGACTGGAAACCCCATCTGGACTTTGTGTGTGAGACAGAAAGATTATGATGTATGATTTTAATGATTAGAAAAAATAATAGTTAATAGAAAAAAATGAAAGCAATGTTGTACACCTTAGACTATAAGGTCAATTTAAATTTATACTTATAACTGTTGTAAAAGAGCAGGTTCAGTCTAGCTGTTAAGAAAACTATAGTGAATTCTATTCCCATTTTAGTCATGAAAGCCAGGTGGATGACTTTGGGCCAGTCACGTTCTCTTAGCCCAACCCACCTCACAGGATTGTTGTTGTTGAAGGGAAAATAGGAAGAAGGTGTGTTGGACATGTTTGCTATCTTGAGTTATTTGTAAAAACAATAAAGGCAGGATACAAATAAATAAATAACATCAGAATCATTTCTTATATTTCTTTTCTTTCTTTCTGCACTTTTTCTTTGTCCTTTACTTCCTTCTATTTCTTATCTTAATTATTAGTTTCTGTTAGTTTATTGTGTTTTTAGTGTAAAAAAAAAAAATCCCAAACCGTTATCTTATTTTTTTTTTAAAATTCCCACTTGGAAAAGATCAACGCCGAAGCACCCGCGGATCCTTCTCCTGGATCCTTCTCAGGCACCGCCAGAGGGCAGCCGCGGGCCTTCACGAGTTTCCGGAGCCGCCGTTCTCTGTGGTTCGCGGAAGGGGCCGCGGCAGCCAGAAGCAGGCCTCTTCCCCCACGGTGGCCTGGCAACATGTGGAGCCGGGGGAGAGCCTGCGCCTTCTCCGCGGGACTGTTGCTCGGGGCCCGCCGTCTAAGCAACGGCGGGGGCCGGAGGAAAGAAGCCGCTGCCGCCGCTTCTTCCTTCTTTCTCAGCCAGCCGGTGAGCGTGCTTGGCTTGCGCGGCCGTCCCCAGGAGGGCGGAAGGAAGGACACCAGGACTTGCCCAGATCGTCTTTTGGGGCGGGGGGGGGCAAGGAGAGAGTAGACCTTGGCAGGGACCTTGGCGGAGGATTTGAACTTTATTTCCCGCGGTTCTAGGCGTGATAGGCGTTGCTTCTGTCGGGAAGGGATCGGCCCTGATCCTCCCAGGGCCTCTGAGAGGCAACTGCAGAGCCTGTCATCCCTTCCTTCGAGCAGCCCGGGGCATCACTTAAGAAGGAGTGTCAAACCTCGGCAGCTTTAAGACTTGTGGACTTCAACTCCCAGCATGGCTGGCTGCGGAATTATTGGAAATTGAAGTCCACAGTTCTTGAAAGTTGCCACGGTTGGATAGCCCTGACTTATATAGTTCGTTCTCCATAAATTGGTATGGTGGCCACTGACAGTCTTGAGATAAAAAGAACACAATTGTTCACCACCTTCGTCCAATGCATGGATGGGGAGGGAAGGAGGGAGGGAGAAGAAAACAAATTTCCCCACAGGGGCGTTGAAGCTCTTGGAGGCCAGATTTGATGCCTTTCTAAAGGCTGATGAATTCTCCCCTGCTGGAAAGTTGAAACAGGTAAGGGATGGTGTGGCTACCTGAGATACTAGAGGCACTGTTAAATAGATGTATCTGCTACATGCATTCTGTAGTAATATGTTGCCAATCCAGAGGGAGGTTTTGAATGATTTGTATGCAACAGAATCAACAGCCTTCAAGAAATGCTTTTGTATTCTGGGCAACCTATGCATTTTTATTGCTTGCACTTAATCATAGTTTGCCCTACGAAAAAAAAACAGCATAGTTTATTGATTCCTTTATCTTGCGCTTAAAACCCAAGCGGTATTGCATAGAATGAGAATTACTATTCTCAAAGGTGCTTTTTCACGAGACAACTGGACTTTCTTGTTTTTCTTTGAAGACGATTCACTTCTCATCTAAGAAGCTTCTTCAGGAATTTCCCACCATCCAGTCAGAACTGAAGAAGCTTCTTGGATGAGAAGGGAAACATCTTCAAAGAAAAACAAGAAAGTCCACTTGCCTCGTGAAAAAACACCTTTGGGACAACTATGGCCTGGATGACAGAATCTCCATAGAGATTTACTACTGAATACATATCCTTAGGATTAGCTTGCTTTTATATTGGCTGAGTTCCCATCAGTTTTTGTAAGCTTTCCTCCGTTGTAGGAATCGATGTAATCTTCCATTTCTGAGCGTAGAGTAATCTTGCTGCTGTCAACTTATATAACATCAAAGTTCCATATATTTTTTTCCAGGTCTTTGTCCATTTGTCCCAAGAGAAAAGTCTCTGGTTTTCTATCTATATTTAATTTAAGAATTTTCTGTATTAACATATGAATCCTGTTCCAATATTTTCTTGCTTTTGTCCACCATAAATGGTAAAATGTCTCCTCTTTCCTTTTCATTTCCAACATTCATTTGAAATATCTTTATACATTTTTGATTAACTTGTCTGATGTTAAGTACCAATGGTAGAATTCTAAAAAAATTATTCATTCATTCATTCATTTAGTTTCTATAGCTACCTAATTCAATCAAGTGATTCTGGGCAATTTACAATTCTAAAATTATAAAACAAAAACATTAAAATAGTGAAAACATCCACAAAATAATTAAGTTATAGTCCCAACCCCTCCATAGGTCACATTTAAGTTTGAAACTTTTTTTTACAGGATGTTCATCTGCACTTTTTAGACCATGTTCTGATAAACAGAGTCAAGAGTATTCAACTTATATTTGAAAGACGCACAGGAACTCTCATAGACAAAAGGTATGTTGTATATACAATTGATAATGTATTGTATTATGTTTTTTCCCCCAAGGCTAAATTAGTGAGCAAGACAAAAATTGATATCTGGCTCTTCAGAGCTGACATTAACCAAAGCCAGTGCCCATAGTGATTAAGTTTCATCAAGGAGATGTTGACTCTTAGCAACCACATAGACAAACTTTGTCAAAAATGATCTGTTGTCTATCTGATCTTTTAAGTCTGTAGTGAATTAATGACTATTGCAATTCAGTTCCACCAACTTGCTACTGATCATGCACTCTACTTTTTTTTCAGCATTATGAACTTCTCAAGGAAGTTGGATCTTTATGTAATACGTCTAAAATATGATAATTGAGCCTGGTCACATGTGCCTCAAGTGAAAACTCTGGATTGATTTGTTTTGTGGTCCAGTGTTTGTTTTTCTGACTATTCATAATATTAGCAAGAATCTTCTCCAACAGCAAAGTGTCAATATTCTATCTAATTTGCTTCTTCAAAATGCAACTTGCACATTCATAGAATGTCACAAGGAAAACTACTGTCTTCGTCATTCTAATGCTTTAAATACGGACGCATTTGGGAATCCAAATATTTTTTTCAACATCTTGTTGCTATCCTACCAAGTGATATTATGGCATCTTTGTTGACTGCTGCCTGTTCACTGTTGATGGTCAATCTAGCACTTCAGTGACTTCATTATCATTTCAAAGGCTTTTTATTGTACCAATTATCATTGGTTTGATCATCTTTATATTTCATCTTGGGTGGATTTTGCGCGCGTGATGGCGGCTACTTTGTAGCCGTCCTCCTGGGTAAGTGTAAGAACCGCTATGAACAGCAGATATCAGCTGTTCAGCGGTTCAAAATCCCCCTCCCGGGCAAAGGGGGGGGGGTAGAGAGTGTCTGAATAGTGGTAGAGCCTCTTTTGCACCCCCCAAGTTTTTTTTTTGGGGGGGTGAAAGGAGTGCTCCCACGGAGTTCAGACTTGTCTCCGCTTCCCAGCTGTTTTTGTCCTCAGGGACAAAACGAGCCGCTGCAAACACCTCCGTGCTTAAAGAGAACTGGTGAGTTTTTTTTTTTTTTTATAAACGGACAGAGCTGAGTAGAGGATTTAGTTTTTGCTTTCTTTGACTTATTTGGATTTTAAGTTTTAAGACTTGTTTCTATTTTTATTCTCTCTTTTTATTTTTCTTTCTTTGTTGAAAGGGAAAGTAAAATGGCGATCGGCAAATCCTTCGGTGTTTTTTTTTCTGGAAGTTAGAATGCTGACCGGCAGGCTTTTTGGTGTTTCTCTTTCTTTTCTTTCCCTTTCTCTTTTTATTTCCTTATGATTGGAATGGTTGTTTTTGGTATCTCTAAGTATTTTTCTTGGAACGGACTTTTTCTATTTAATTATTTTTTTTTCTTCTCCCTTTTTTTTTTTTTTTTTTTCTCTCTTTGAACTCTCTTCTTTTTATTGTAATGACCCTTTTTTGAAGGACTTTTTTCTGTTTAATTTTTGTAATTTTTAAGAAGGAGTAAAGCTTTTTTTTAATTCCTTTTCTCTTTTTTTTTTTTTTCTTCCCTTTTTTTCTTTTTATTATAACTCTTTGGAGGGAGTTATGATTTTTGAAGGAATTTTTATAATTTTTTAAGAAGGACTAAAGGTTTTTCTTTAAGATGGCTCCAAAGCGTCCAGAGATTTCTGCAGCTTCTAAATCAACAGTTTCACCCTCTTCTGGGGGTCAGCTAATAACTATGAAGGATTTGCAAGACATGATGGGAGATGTTATAATTCAAATTAGGGCAGAAATGAAAAAGATTTTAGAGGAAAACAATAAGATCTTGAGACAAGATTTTGTTTTGGTTTTAGAAGGTGTTGCTTCTGTTCTTGAAAAGGTGAACTCCCATGTGGAAGAGGTAGCTGAAAAAGTGGACATAATGGAGGGGAAAATTGAAAGTATGGAAAAAGAAATGGAAAATGAGATTCTTATGCTTCAATATGGACAAATGGAATATGCCTTAAGAATTAGAGGCCTGGGAGAGTCTTTGCAAGGAGATCTGAAGGAGATGGTTGCAAAGGACTTTGCATTGATTTTGAATAAAGAAAAAGAGGGAATACTTAGTGAAATTGAAAAATTATTTAGGGTTAACTCTGTGGTGGCAGCACAGAAGAATCTGCCAAGAGATGTGGTAATTTACTTTGGTAAAAGATCTTTACGCAATGAAATTGTGCAAGCCTATTATAAGAAGAGATTTCAAATTGCTTCACAAGATGTTATAATTTTTAAGGAGATCCCATCTAAAATTTTAAGAAGAAGAAAGGAGTTTGCTTTTCTAGCAAATGAACTTAAAAAGAGAAAAATTTTATTCAGATGGGATGTTCCGACTGGAATGGTGGTGAATTACCTGGGGACATGTTATAGACTTAATACTGTTTCTCAAGCAAAAGATTTTTATACTTCGGTCCTGGGGGTATGTGCATCGCCATCTATTAAGTTTAAAGCTTTGGAAGAAAAGAATGTAGAATCACAGTTTGAAGAGCCTATATTTATGAAAACTGGAGAATCTTTGTGTGAGAGGCCTCAACAAGTCCAGGTTGAGGAGCAGAAGACAACTTGTGCAGTATACAATTCCAAAGAAAAGCAGCAACAGAAGAAGGTTAAGGAAGTTTCATACTCAGTGGTTTCTGAATCTCTGGGAGATGTTAGACCTACAAAGTCTTTGGAGCAATCTTTAAGGGTGGAATTGCTGCCTGAAATGGAAATTGGGAAATCTCAGTTTGAGGGGCATCAACAAGAGAGGAACGGGCAGAGGATAACTTGTACAACTTACAATTGTAAAGACCAATACAAGGAGGAATTCAAGGAACCCTTATTGGCTTCGGAGTCGATGGGAGATTCAGGAATTTTGGAGCAGTCTCCTAAGGCAGAACTTGCAGCATTTCTTACGAGTTTGATACAAGAATGGAGAAGGGAAATGGAAGAATGGAAGAATGGAGAATGGAAAAAACTGGAATGTGAATAATTAATAATACTAATATAATTGAGACTGATAAGGATGCAGTTTCTTACGGATGGAATTTGTTATTGGTGAAGATTGAAATGTTTAATGTGTTTATTAATTTTGTTGTTTTAAGTTTTGAACCTTTAATGATAATATTGTTTAAATTTGTGTTTTGAAGGGATTATAATTTGCTTATTTTAGTGAGGGGATTCTAATGTTTTAAATTTTAAGTAATGTTTAAATTTGTGTTTTGAAGGGAGTATAACTTGTTCAAGTTTTAAGTATGCTTAAATTTGGTTTTTAAATATTATTAATATTTTTAAGAGAAAATAATTTGTTTAATTAAATGTTTAGATTTGTTTAGGAAAGAAAGTAATGTTTAAATTTGTGGTTTTGGAGGGAGTTTATATAGAATGATGATTGTATTTAGATTTGTTTAGGATTTAAAAGTGTTTCTAGTTTTTAAATATTATTATTAATATTTTTAAGAGAAAATAATTTGTTTAATTAAATGTGCTTAGATTTGTTTAGGACTTATAGGTTTTTTAAGTTTTTTTCTTTTTGGATAGGAGAGAAGATTATGAAGATTGAAGGAAATATGTACTTACTTTAAGTTCTTTAAGAGTATTTAGCTTTAATGGTATAACAAAGATTTGTATGTTTATTTTTTCGTTTTAGGATAAAGAAAGAGGGAGAAATTAGATTTTATACTATAGATATAGATATTCAAAGAAAGTAATGTTTAAATTTGTGTTTTTGGAGGGAGTTTATATAGAATGATGATTGTATTTAAATTTGTTTAGGTTTTAAAAGTGTTTTAAGTTTTTTTTTAATTAAGCCTGTACTCAGCTCTGGGAAGTCCAGGGGAGGGTTTGGGAGGTTGGGAAGGGGGGGGGTGAGGTAGGGGGGGGGTATGGGAAGGGGATTTGTTTTTGTAAAATGTAAAAATTTTCAATAAAAAAAAAAAATAATAATAAAATATATTTCATCTTAATTCCATTTTTCCTGCTTTCTGACTTTAATTACTACAACTTTCACATCATTTATAGCTTTCAAAGTAGAGTCATCAGTCTGTCAGAAGTTATTAATATTTTGTCCAGTTTTAAACCATGCTCATCTTCTACGAATACAGCATCCCTCAAATATTTTCAACATATAAATTGAATAAATAAGGAGAGTATACAGTACAGCCTTATCTCACTCCTTTGTCCACTTAGAACCAGCCTGTTGTTGTGTTGCTCAGAATTGGCTTTCTGTCATGCATATAGGTTTTGCATGTGAGAGATTCTGAGACTCCCATTTTCCTTTGGACATTCGCTGGTTGACATGAGTAGTATAATTTAGGGCCTTTCTATATCCAATAAAACATACATTCGTCTTTTTTTTTTTTTGCATTCTTTGACTTTTTCAATTCTCCATCATACCCAAGCAATAATGTCCTTTATTCCTTGGTTTTTTCTAAAACCAGTTTGAACTCATGGTATTTCCCCTTTGTGCCTAAGACTCTAATCTGTTTTGGATGACCCTAAGCATTATTTTACTAGAATGTGAAATTAAAGATGTGGTGTAATAGTTTGCACAATCTGTTAAATCTCTATTCTTTGATATTGATAAGTAGATTCAACTCTTTTAGACTATTGACAACTATTATTCTCCCCATTGGCTTGCAAAATTTGGTTAGAACCTCTCTTGATTCTTTTGTTGTTCCCATAGCATTCTATCCTCGTAATGACTGGAGTGCTGATTTAACTTCCAGCACTAGAAGTTCTTACAAACATGAATATATATGTATCTTCTAAGTATCTTGGATATTGATATATTTACTGTGCAATATTTCAGTATACTTCACATTTGTTTGATCTGGTTTGAATAAGTTATTGTTTACTGACATCCTTTAGCATACTAGGCTTGAGGTTGGAATATCCTTCTGAGTTTGGAGATCTTTTGGAAAATGTTGTTTTTCTGTGGCTGTTTCCATTTTAGTGTCTTTACCGTGGTAATGCTGTGGTAATGCTTCTTGTTTCTTCTAAGAGTTTTCTGAAATTCTTTGCTCAGTTCCTGTACCTTTCTTAGCTTTGGCTTATCTTGTAGGCAATTTGTATCAACTCTTTTCTCATCCAGTTGGTTTCTTCTGTTTCTTGGTCTTTGGAAATATATTTTAAATTCATCCTAAACAGTTTCTTTGATTTAATTCCACAGTTCCTATGGCTCCCTGTAAATGAGGCTCAGGATTTCATAGTTTACCTTTGAGTGGTAAGTATATTGTCAAGATTATATAGTGGAAAGTGGTTTTGTTTTTCCACTTTAACCTGACTTGGAGGTTGAACACTAGCAGTTTGTGATCTGTTCCACAATCAGCCCCTCATCATATCTTGGTTGTTTTAAGGGAGCTCTTCCATTTCCTTACATCAATAATACAGTCAATTTGGTTTCTCTGTTGTTCCACCTGATGATAATGATTGTATTTGCAATGAAGAAATTGGATTGGCAGAAACTGACCATTCATTCTCCTGTTTCATTTCTTTTTCCTACATGTATAGTGCAATTACGTTTTCCTCCTTAATATTTGTAACATTGTCTTTCCAGTTCCCAGTCACAAACAGTGCATCTTGCTTGCATGTTCTATCGATTTCTGATTGAACTTGACCATAACATTCATTCGTCTTCTTCCTCTACACCAGGATCACAGATCTGGATAACTATTCACAGATCATTAAAGGGTTGTCTACAAAAATATAATTGATATTATTTGTTCATGAGCTGCATTGTACCAAAATACCGTCTTTGCTATTACCTTCCTGACTATGAAAACAACAGGGTTCTTTTGACTGTTTACGTTCTGAGAAGTAAACAGTATGATCTTCTGATTGAAAGTAACCAATTTCATTCTGTTTCAATTCACCGATGCCCAAGGAATGTGTAGTGAGTTTATTTCATTTTTTCATTGGGTTGAGCTTTTCCATGATTGGGCTTCTTACGCTTTGCATTCTACTGCATTTCTGTTTTTATAGTTTGGGATTTTCTTTTCTCTGCATGAAAACATCAGTAGACATCCCATAGGATTTGATCAGCCTATGTCATAAAATACTTTGTCTACTCTGGAGGATCCATAGCATGTTGACTGCCATTCAACCTGATGGGCCTATCATCCAGCATTCACTTCATCTTCTCTGTAAGATAAAATATTGATGATGTTACCTTGTTTGGGTAAGGAAACCTATGCAAGGAAATAACCAAGCTAGGAGAGTACCAAGGACCCCTCATATCTTCTCTGTCCTTCTGGTTTACTTGATAAAGTATAGGAGTGCTTTGCTATTTGCCTTCTCCTATGCAGTTTGAAATGATGTCTTTATTGTCACTACAGTGATCATCCACCTCTGACACCTTCCTCTGTTGCTGCTGCTGATACTGGTGCTTGCTTATCTGGGCAGTTACGATGACCTTCACATCTTGGGTGACCCTTTTGGAAGAATACACTGTTTGTGTAACTGCCTCACTCATCTGTCCCCAAAATACCCTCTGCCATATTGAGGCAGCACAAGCTGGGGAATGTTGGAGTTAAGGAATCCTTAACTGAAAGCACATGTCCTCACTAATTTAGTGTAGTAAACCACAGATTCTCATCTTGTAGCATTAATACTCTTAGCTCAACTGCTTCTCTTTCCTGACAGGCAGGACCAAATAACTTTTTTGTAACCTCTAGATGGCAGAAGAGAGCATCTTCCTAGTTTTTTAAATCCTGTACTCTGGTCTATAGGAGTTCTTTGCTAAATGTTACCCTTTTTTTTCTCTGTTCTGCTTCAGAGTAAGTCTGTTACTCTGTTTTCCTACTGGTGCTGGAGGTATCCTTAACTGTTGCCGTAATTGTTGTATATATATTGTTGCACAGAAACATTAGGATTATTGCTAATTTAGCAGCATCCTCCATTACTGATCTACTGAGCCAGTTAGGTCTAGTGATTAAGGCACCAGGCTCCCAAGCCAGGAGTTCTAGTCCTACCTTAGGACATGAAAGCCGATTGTGTCACTTTGGGCCAATCACTCTATCAGCCCAATCCACCTCACAGGGTTGTTGCTGTGGGGAAAATAAGAGCAGGATGTATGTGTTTTTCTGCCTTGAGTTATTTGTAAAAAAATAATAAAGGCAGGATACAAATAAATAAATAAATATTAAGCAACTTGTGGTCCTTATTTTATTCTTATAAGAGATGATGCAGGGTTAATTTACAAGTCACAACCAGAACAGTTTTTGGCAGTTGAGTCCTTAAAATTGGTGATGCTGTTTCAGTGGTACTGAATATAATCTCTTAACTAGCTAGGAGACCGCTCTTTATTGAAATTCCTTCCTTCCTTATGAGCTAGAAAAGGAAATTAGGTTGTTCCTCCTGCAAAGATAGTGAAAGAACAACCAAGCTAAGGATACTTTCCATTCCTGAAAGAAAAGGAATTTGGTAATTCATCCAAAGTTCCATTTGTTGTTTCTAGAAGTTCTGAAATGTACTCTGTGGTTTGTCTCATAGAGAGCTAATTGCTACTATCTAATACAGTGTTTCCCAAACTTGACAATTTTAAGGCATGTGGACTTCAACTCCCAGAATTCCACAGCCAGCAACGCTGGCTGTGGAATTCTGGGAGTTGAAGTCCTCATGCCTTAAAATTGTCAAGTTTGGGAAACACTGATCTAATATAACCAATTTGTTTTAGAAATCCTCAAGTAATAAGCTCAGAATTCTTATATCAGATGGTTGCTTGAATTAAATGAATAGAAATGACTTAATGGCCTGACTAAAATTAAATCTCAGCTGATTTCTCTCCCTGTGGTCTGTAATAAACTCTTCTCCATTTTTTATTAATAAAATCTATGAAATGTTTCCAGCGCTAGCTAGTAACAAATGTCTTCAAGTAGTCTGCATTTTTTTCCCTCTGAATGTTTATATTGTCTCCCTCTTGTTTTCAGCAAGTAAATTTGAGCGAATCTTTGTTCACATGACTTTTACAGCTCATTAGATGAAACCAAGTATGAAAAACTTGCGGAAGAAACACTGGAATCGTTAACAGATTTCTTTGAGGAGTTAGCAGACAAGCCATTTACTTCTAAAGATTACGATGTCTCCTTTGGGGTACAAAATGTTATCATTGCATTTTTTCCGGCATTTCTTTGTAAATTCTAACCTGTTGTTTGTAGATAGAGCATTTTAAAACTCTTGATGTGTTATTAATTATGGCTGTAAATATTGAAGATTCTACTACAGTTCCAGAGTTCTACAGTTATTACAGATGATTCTTGACTTACAAGAGTTCATTTAGTGACCTTTCAGAGTTACAATAGCATGAAAAGAGTGACTTTTGACCATTTTTCACACTTATACTGTTGCAGCATCCCCTTGGTCTTTGTTCAAAATTCAGATGCAGGGCAGTTGGTTCATATTTATGACCATTGCAGTGTCCAGAGGTCATGTGATCAGCTTTTGGGTCCTTCTGACAAGCAAAGTCAATGTGGAAGCCAGATCCACTTAACAACAATGATTCACTTAACAACTGCTGCAAGAAAAGTTGTAAAATGGGACAAAACTAACTTAAGAAATGTCTCACTTAGCAACATAAATTTGGGGCTCAATTATGGTCGTAAGTCGAGGACTACCTGTATCGGAGGCAGTGTTCCTCAAAGGCCGTAAAATCACTGTTTAGCTCTTTTCATGGGGCCCTGCAGGTATATCACAGACCAGCCTATCTCTGAAAGCCAAGCTTACGTGGAATCAAGCAAGTTGAGCCCCAACGCATGAGTTGAGTTGAGAAGGGCTGTATAAGTGGACAAATGTACATCCTTCAAATTTGCTGCATCTTTTGGAAGCCTTATGCACAATACTATATAGGCCAACCCTGTCATTCCTTAATGTTGTTTTGTTAAGACCACTCAGGCCTTAGCATTAAACTTGAATTCAAACCATTGCTTCATTTAGTTCCTCTTACATGATCTTTGTGATTCTGTATATCAAAGAATTTTCCTGTGGAAACATTTGCTCTTGTCACAGTTCAGAATCTGCATTTTTTTCCATTTCAGCTTTTCAGTTATTGTTCTGAATTAAAGATTTTGGGAAAGTGTGACCAATAAGAGATACAATACTAGTGTGTGTACATAGATGTGTGCACATTTCTTCTCTCTTTCCTTGTTGTATTGACTAGGTACTTCCAGATTAAAGTCTCAAATACATTATTGGGGGGAAGGGAGAGCTCCAGACAATATTATTTTCCTTCTGCAACAATTGCATATTCCGCGCCCCCCCCCCAATATTTTTTTTCTAATTACAGAGAACCTGTTAAGCAGCGAAAGGAAAAAACAATAGGCTGTCATCTGGAAGCACTTACTTTTCTCTTATAGTCTGATAATTATTTTTACTGAATACACTCTTTGTGTTGTGAGACCAGAAGATGGCATACTTGGGAAAAAAATGTAACAAGTGAGATACCATTTTATGTTTTACAATTGGGCAGATATAACTGCATTTATAGTATCTGTGGCTTAGAACCAGAGTGTATATTTTGCTAAAATTCTTGGAAGCTAATTGATATAGAAAAGGGTGACAAAAGCAAAGAGGGAATTAAATGAAGCAAATAATTTGATTCAAATGTACTCATTTAACAATGATATGAGTGATTCTTCTAATTGAAGTAGCCTCTACTTAATATTTGAAAAACCTCTTTCACAATTCAAAGGTTTTTGTTTACCTTTTTATTTTGTAGAATGGAGTACTAACAGTGAAACTGAGTGGAAACATGGGAACTTATGTAATCAATAAACAGACACCAAATAAACAGATATGGCTCTCTTCTCCAATCAGGTGAGTTTAGTTTATAGGTTAAAATGATTTGAAAATTTGTAAAATAAAATTCATTTATTAGACGTAATTCTGAAATTTCTAAATCAATACTATGGCATTTCCAGATTGTTCAGATTCTAAACTTTGATGTCATAACAAAAATTTCCTGCTTAGCACATTACCCAGAATTTTCTGGCTGTCAATCATCTATAAACCAACTTGAGATTGCTTAACTTCCAAGCCCAGGTGAAGTCAGCTGAATGCTACTATCTGCTAATGCTTTTGTCTTAGTTGAAAGACTATTGATTACATGTGGTTTTGTGGAAGAAATACATAAACCATCCTTTGATTCTGTAAAATCTACCAGTAAATAAAATACTGAAGGTAGCTGAATGTGTTTGTTTTGTAAGCACACAACATCCAAATAATAAGAGAGTGTCAGAAACTGTCAATTTCTGTTCTCTAGAACAGGGGTCCCCAACCCCAGTCTGTGAACTGGGACCGAGACTGGGCTGTGGCATGCCAGAAACTAGGTTGCACAAACAAGCAAAGCCCCACCCATGGGATACAGGCAGCACGCGAAACCACACACCCTTCCAGTCTGCAGAAAATCCTCTCTCCAGGGAACCAGTCCCTGGTGCCCAAAAATTGGGGACCGCTGCTCTAGAAGAATGCCTTAGTTACAGGCTTTTTCATAAGGATGTACTACTGGAATTAATAGTGTATATTTATGCACCAATTGTTGTGCATAAAATAAAGCATTTGTATGCTTTTGTAGCTGACAAATATTTTTACAAGATAGTTGCCAGTTAAGTACATGTAAAATAATCCAGCAAGCAGATTCAAATCAGCTGTACAATTAGATTACATACTAAATTTTGATACAAGATGACTAAAAGAAATCTATTCTATAGCTTTAAAAACATTAAGCACCTTAGAAAAATTGGGGAGGGGTAACCACAAGTGTTTGCCTAACTTTTAAAGTTATTACAAAATGAGTGAAAAAATTAAAATTTCACAGGAATATTTTTTCTAAAAAAACTGAAGGCTTGTTAACCAGATATGCAGACTTAAAGCATTGCTGCAGGTCTTATTCAAACTGTAGATTGCCAGTTTGGACAAAATAGTACATTTAATTTGATTATGCTAGAGAGATATACACCAGTTGTAAAGCAAGGAATGAAGAGATGTGTGCCATGAGTATAATAAATGGCGAAATTCCAGCATTTCCAAAGGAATATGATGAATTTGAACTGTATAATTAACCATTTGTCAGGTTTTCTTTTACTTTCTCCTATACTACAGAATATAGAATACTCTTCTCACATTTTAAGCAGGGTTAATGTACAGGTTCTCTGAGTTACTGTGAACCTGTGCTTTTACTTTATGCACTCTCTTTCATATTTTATAAACATTTAAATTTGAGCTCTCTTAATGTGTTAATTTTTCAGTGGCCCAAAACGATATGACTGGACTGGAAAAAAATGGATTTATTCTCATGATGGTATTTCTCTTCATGATCTATTGTCCAAGGAACTTTCACTTGCATTAGCAACTGAACTGGATTTATCAACTTTAACACATGCTGGTGGAGAGCCTAATTCTTGATATCTATAAAAATCCAAAGACTTATATCTATAAAATTTATATCTATATTTATATCTATAAAAATCCAAATGGGACTTAGACCCATTTCTTTCCTCCTCACGATACTCTAGTTTTAATATGTTTGTCCAAATTTAAATTCTCAAAACATTTGTTATTCAAATCTATTTTATTAAGCACTAATGGAGAAAAATTATATATATATTGGCTTTACGTGTTTTTGTTCTTTTTCTTGTGTTGCAAGGACAACAGTGATGAAATATTTCTGCAAGATGGTATCCAGTTGTAGAAGTGTGATATTTGCATGAGGGTTGCCAGCCAAACAGGATGCTTTTGCTATATGTGTACTCCACTATCAATAACTTTTATAATGCAATGTTCAATGGACCTACCATAATCAAGTGTTGTGTCCAATATATCATGATATGTCCCACCATAGAATGCCACTATATACAATAATTTCTAGGTAGCCTTTGCGTGAAGCCCTTCGATAATTCTTACAGAAATGAATCTTATTAATGGGATATTTATTTTTTAAATAAGAAACAGACTAACTGAAATATGCCTACCTATTTCATGTATATAATTAAAAAAACCCGAATTTATGTTTAACTTTGAAATAAGGAGTGGAAATTATTAAATAATAATGAACTGCATAGAAAAACTTGGATTAAGGGCAACATCCTCCTTAATTAAATGCAACATTAGATTTTAAAATGATTGAAGAAACTAGGACTATGCAAAGCAGTTGAAAAATTGTTTTCGAAGCATATTTTGGAAGATGTCATGGCTACTTCAAAAGATATTCTCAATCCGTTGTCCTAAGTTACAAATTTAGAAAATGCCTATATAAAGTCTTATTCTCTAGTTCAGATATAGGGAACTTCAGTCCCAACTTTGGATTGACCTCCAATAATTTTTTGAGGACCAAATAACACAGACATGTCAAACACAAGGCCTGGGGGCCAGATGCGGCCCACGAAGTGGTTTCATGTGGCCCATGAAGCCATCCTGAAAACAGTGAGGGAACGGCTCCCGCTGCCCTGGCCCTGGCCCAGGCCAGCCGAGAGCCAATGTGCAATTTTGTGGTGGCCATCTGTGCTAAAACGCATTCAGTCCTAGCTCCACAAGGCTGTCTGGAAACAGCTAGGAACCAGCCCCTGCCGTGTGGGCCCCGCCCTTTGGGTGCATGCTGAGCTGCGTTTCTTGCCTATTTTTCTCCTTCCCTCATCTCAAATATTTTCCCACCACTCTGTACTTAGGAAGGAAAGAAGGAGAGGGAGGGTCTGAGGGAAGTTCTGTCTTAGTCCTGCCCTGCTGCCCTTTTCACCATCCCCTTGCCCCCTCCTCCTGGCCTATTCTGGGGTCTCCCTTCCTATTGCTAAGGAAGCTTTGGATACAAAGCCGGGTCTCCTCCCATGGAGAGGGAATGGGCCTCCCTCTGACTTTGCCCTTGTACCCATCATGAGCAACCTGGCTAAGGAGAGCAAGCACAGCAGCAGCAGCCTTGAGGAGGAGGTAAGTGCAGCTGGGCACCCCCTTGCGGAAGTGGGGCTAGGCATGGTGCCGCAGGTGCTCGAGGGCCAGGCTGGGCATTTGACCTCTGCTGCCCAGGGCAGCCCGCGCCACCATCCAGCCTCCCCCTGCATGGCCTGAGAGAAACAGTGAGGTTCCTCCAATGGACCATGCCTTGGCACTTGCCCTGCTCCCACCCCTTTCTGTCATCCCCAGATCTGTCCCATTCCTGCCCAGGCCCCCACAGGCACCCTTGACGCGAACAATGTAGAGCTGGCCATGCCCACCCAGTAGGCCACACTCACTCTCCACACCCACCCTGGCCACATCCACACGGCCCCCCGAGGGCAATGGCAATGCTGATGCGACCCTCAATGAAATTAAGTTTGACACCCTTGAAATAACACCAAAAAGTAGGGACCAGGCTTCCTGAGACCTTGTTTGTATATGCCTCTCACAAAGACACATTGTTAACACTTAGTCTTTCCTGCTGGGGTAAACAGAGGAAGACCAAAGTGTTCTTGGTTTGAGAAGCCTCCACTTAGTGTGGGAAGCATACAGATAGTCCTCGATTTACGTCCATAATTGAGCCCAAAATTTATGTTGCTAAGTGAGATATTTGTTAAATGAGTTTTGCCTCATTTTACAACTTTTCTTCCCATAGTTAAGTGAATCATTGCAGCTGTTGAGTTAATAACCCAGTTGTTAAGTGAATCTGCCTTCCCCATTGCAAAAAGTGTTTACATAATCCAAGGACGCTACAACCATCAAAAATATGAACCAGTTGCCAACCATCCTAATCTTGGTCACGTGACCATGAGGATGCTGCAGTGGTCATGAGTGTGAAAAATGGTCATAGGTCACTTTTTTTCAGTGACATTGTAACTTTGAACGGTCACTAAATGACCTGTTGTAAGTCAAGGACCACTATACACAGATCTTGGAGAAAGAGCAAAGCTTTTGGGGACCTTCTGTGACCAAGGGAAGCTTGCAACCCAAATTCTGTTCACAGACTGGAAGCTGCTGTAGTTACATACAACCCAAGAACGAATGCAAATTTGAAACCAAACTCAGACAAAACTGAAATGATGAGGATTAGCTCTTGACACTTATATGGGGGCTGGCTGACTGAATTTTACAACATCTGGATGTAGCAAAGAAGATTCATGTATTGTGGTCTTTTTCTCTGGGACCTCATTTTTGTAGTTTCACTGCCCTTTAATTATAATGTCCTCTTACAATGAGCTAGGGTGGTACCGTAGTAAACTATAAAAAGTCATTTTGCCATTAGTAACAGCATTAAAATGGCTTTCCATGTTAATACAGATTTTATGCTGTAGAGAAAAGAAAAGCCCCTAAGAATTTAATAATTCTAATAAAAGTAAATACTTCCAATACCATCTCAACAAGATGCATTATTTTAACCATTGTTGTAACCCCTGAATTTAGTTCTCCAACAAATTTCTTCTTAAATTATTTCCTTAGATTTGAATCATGTTTGTGCTTGCCTTATATTTACAGTACTCTGAAAAGGCAGAGTTTAATGGTGAAAGGTAAGTTCCTCCCCCAGCCAGCTTTCGATGTAAAGAGCACATTGTACTCATTGAACAATGAGATAGGATCTCTTATTTGCTGGTTACAAACGTGCTACAACACATCTAATTTCTGGAGTTCTGCATTCTTTCAAATGTTAGAAAGGTTAAATATTTCTTCTGACATTGAGCACTTTGGGATTTTTATTAATATTGTCAAATCTGAACATGAGTAACAGGGAAGCTTTTGGGAATTGAAAGGAGCCTCAAGATTTTCAGGAAAAAAAATGTGGGTGGAGAAAAACCCTCAAAAACCCCATTTAGAGTGTCATCATTCTCAAGGGCAATGAACTCTGGCAAACTGTTTAAAAAATCTATAGTTCTGTAATTCAGATTGGGAATGAATGTTTGTGTCTGTAATGTTCTATCTTCTTGACAACATTGACAACATAAGTGAGATCTTCATGATTTTTCTTGATTCCTGGTAACAAAAAATCCTCACTTTTTGTCTCACAAATGTGTCATTCAAATAAAAATGAAATTGCTACTAAAAAGAATATAAGTGGATTTGGATCATCTGTATTTGACATCAATAATCTTCAGATAACCCTCAGATCAAATAACTTTCTAGTAGTGATGGTAGATTGTAGATACCCCTAGTACCGTTTCTAGTATCAAAATGGGAGCATTGAACTAGCATAAAGACAGGAAGTCTCTGCCAAGGAAACTAACTTAAAATGAAGGAAGAAGGAAACTAAATCTTAAGGCACCATATTAATTGATATGACTGATATGATAGAATATATCTCTAATAGTATTAGTGTTCTTTTGTTCTCCAATCCATCCAGACTATTCTAGGTGAGCCCATGGAGAGAAAGCTTGCATAAAACCCATTAAGAAACACAAACACATAAAAGGTTTCTATTTGTGACCTTTGTGGACCTGAGACATTTAGGATCTCTCACGTGCAGGATCACTCACAATATTAATGGAACTGGGGGACATGCAGAAATGAGGGATGGAGGTCTGAACATTATTATAGATCTACAAAGCAATTAGAAATCCTCACTAAACAGGTAGAATCCTAAGAAATATAGGCGATTCCAACATGGCGCAACTGTATGATTGTTTAGGCAAGTCCACTATTATTAGTTGCTTGCTTTTTGACAGATTTAAGAAGAGATGGAAGCTGGAGGGAATACTACTGTATCTAGGTGTGTCACCTAAACATGTCAAATGCAGACTCCATCAGGGATCATACCTGAATCTTCCGGATTGTGATTGCATCAAGTAGATCAAAGTTAAATGACATGGAATGGATTGAACCATTCCTTGCTCTCAAACATTTGCCTTGCTGATAAGTCTGTGAGGAATAACTTGGGACTAATAAAAATATTATCATCATTGGAAGATTTGGATGTGATAAGATATATCAAAGATACACAATGAAGGATATTCATACCATGTACTTACACTGGACACTTGCCATAGTACATTATGTAAACTCAATCATTTAAATGTATATGTAGTCCACAATTGGAACTGGATATGGTTGTGAGCCACTGCAGTCTTAAGTTGAGGCACCCACATGATCGGACCCACTTTTTTAAATATTTTTTGTGGCAGTCATTAAGCAAATCACAAGGTTCATAAGCAAATAATGCAAGTGAACCCATTCTTCTGAATGAATGCGGTCTGCTGGTAACCAGCAAAAAAGTCGCAAAGCATAGCCATGTGACTGGCATGTTGTAACCAATCATAAACGTTGCAAAGAATCTTTCTGAGAGAAATGGGTGTTTTTTACATTTGATAAATAAAAAATAAGAGCAGCCACATGACCATGCAGTGTGTGTGTGTGTGTGTATGTGTGTGTGTGTGTGTGTGTGTGTGTGTGACATTTTACAAGGGCCAGAAGTGCTTTACAGAGTGTAAATACCCATTCTGAGACCATTGTAACTCCAAATGGTTGTAAAATAGAAACAGACCACTATCGCTCAGACTATTCAAACACACTAACTCAAAATATAATTTGTTTGTATCTGGTGTATCATAGCAGAATCTTTTGCTCAGAAGGTTATGGAAATAGGATGTGAGATGATCCCAGATCTTCAATCATGTTAGTTGTCTCCAGAGCTACACTATTATAAATCAAAGTCAGGAAGTATGTGCACTGAGCTCTGAAATATACATCTTGGAGATCCAAAACTCAGGCTCATTCAACAACTTTGTATTTTATTCAGCTTGTTCTACCTGCACAGCCAACTTATCACAAAAGTAATGGGTAACAAACTATTATTTGTTTCCTAGATGAGATTACAGCGGCAGACACTCAATGCCAGCCAAGAGTTACACTTTTCTTTACCCCTGCTTAGCTGCTATCCAGTGATCACGTGGATCCTTGCCATTCAAACTTGATCGCCCTAAGATAGCCATTGACAGGCTGAACCCGTCTTGGAAGTGAATATCCAGCCTTGGAAGTCCCTCTCAAACTTGCTCATTCCCTTCACAAGAGTTTCAGCTGGGATCTGGGCTAAAGCCAAACGAAAGCCGCACAATGACGAATGCCCCAGTGTCACCACTGACTCGACTTCCTTGCGTTTATTAGAGTTTTGCTTTGAACCGGTATTTCCTGTTCCAGAGTCAGGACGGTGGAATGGAAGACCACGGAGGGGAACTGAGCTTACTTGCTGGCCAGTGCGAAATGGTGAATGCCCTTTGGTTACATTTTTCCCGGAACGGTTCAGCGGCTGTCCCAAGCGCTAGTGCAACTAGTGGCACACATGCTGGGACACGCGTGTCTGCACTTCTGCGGGCCGTAATCCAGAAAACTCGACTCAGAAGAATAGGGCTGAAAGCCTCCGGGGTGCAAACAAAGCCAAGGGCTCAAATAGGAGTCAGGTGCTTTGTGGTTCAGATGCACTGCAGGGACCTAACCCGGGCATGGATCAAAAGGCGACCAAGCACACTTGGTGTAGTTGGGGTAACCTCAGCCTCTGGACTTTGTAGTCCCATTTCGACACCTTCCCTTCGGAATACCAAACCCTCTGAGGGCGCCAATTGTGCCGCCCCGAACCCTCAACTTCTCTGGAGTCCTGCTCGAAGAGCGCCGCCTCGCATCTAATCAGATTCTCGGGTCCGGCTAGTCCCTCCTCCCCTCTCTCTCCCTCCTTCTCTCGCCTGTTATTGTTTGGCTCGCCGTGGTGTCCTCTGGCGGAACGGTGGTGGCAATTGTGGCTGGGTGGCGGAGTGAATCTACGCCAAGAGACAGCGGCGCTTCTTTCGCCGGGCAGGTGCCTCCCAAACTCTTCCAGCCGTGCCTCGTCCTTCCCATTCGGGAGGGAGGCGAGCGGCGTGAGCGTGCTTACCTGTTTGCGGCGACCGAGCGGCCGCGCCCAGGTTGGTTTTCCTGCCTCCTTCTCGAAACAGGAAATGGGTTGAGTCAGGAAAGCCTCCAGAACAGAGACTGCCCTCCCTTCTCCCGGGCAGCTTCCGCCTCCGATGGGCATTGAGAGGCGCGGTTTCTGCTTGGATCGCGGTCGTATCTCCAGGGGCCGTTCCACATTCCAGCGACGTCTTCCAAGGACCGGGTGGTTTCCCAAACGAATTATTTTCTACTCCAGGTAATTGTTGTTTTTTTCGTTCTCTTTACCTGTTGGGAGTGAGGGCATGTGCTCCTTTTTTTTTTTTTTTAAGTTTCCCTTTTAATCGCCGCCGACTTCTCTTAACTGAAGGTTTAGCCGAGGGAAACGGTGAGTTGGGTGTGTACGGGCGCGCGCGGTGGGGAAAATTCCAGACTCGCATTTTAAACACTTTCCGACGTGGAGGCGAGCGCGCGGGGTTCGAACTGCAGCGCCCTTACATAATTTGGGAGCCTGGATGGGAAGCCCTCGAAGCGCCCCTTTTCCCGATGTACTTACCCTCCCACCTACATCCAGAGGTGGCAAGCCACCATACTCGGGGTGGAGGCGAGTATGACTCGCTCTTGTCCGCGAGGTCACTACTCGCAACTCTCAAGTGTGAAGGCGCATAAAAAGTGAATCCGGTTGCCTTGGTCGTACTTTTTTTTTTGAGATGACCTTTCCGGGGTTGTCTGCCATGAAATGTTTTGTCTGTTGGCCCCCGGAATTCAACCTCGAGGGGGACGAATCGAGGAGAGAGAACTGGGTGAATTCCCCCTCCCCCTGGCTTGGAATCGTCTGAATAACACTGTTCTGACTATGATGAATCCCAGGAAAGAGTTAAATAGGAATCCGACTGGGCTGCGCCGGAGTTTATACCTTCAAGGATCGCTCGTCGCCTTTCCGCTCCTTTCCCTCTTGTTGTGGGTGGTGTTTTGCCTCTGGTTATTATGCTTCAGAGTGGACTGATGGCGGGAAGGGGCGCTGTTTTCCTCAGTTCACTACTGGGTTTTACCCAGTTAGAGGAGAGAAAAGTTCGGTTTGCAGGATCAGAGTTTCTTTTACAGGATTATGGGCCTCTATGTTTCTGTTTCCAGTTCAAGTGCTTTCAGGCAGGCAGGAAGGTGATGGCTGGTAAGCGCTTGAGTTGGGCCTGTGGTGAATCACCGTTTGTTTGGAGAAGAATTAAGTTGAATAGAGTCAGGGGAACTTTTCTTATCCTAAGGAAATTGTACTCAGGGGAAAAAAAAATATCTCTGCATACCAGCCATGCTTGAAATGGCACATCAGTACCACAGTTAGTACTTCGAAATTCCTGGGTTTGAGAGAGCTCATTTCCTGTATTTCTTAAAGGCTGGCAGAGTATAGCTCCAATATGTTTCACAAAGCAAATAAAACAACACCCGACTTGGTTACAGGTTGGTGTACAGTATTCCCACTGTTCTTTTCTGAAACATACTAGTTTTTCCCTTTTTAAAAGCAATTTTGGGCTGCGCAAAGGGTAAGGCAGATCCTTTTCGGTTCATTAATAGAATTGGTAGTTTTAAAAGAATGCTCCGTTTGATCCCTTGCTCTTCAAAAACTTTCTACAGAACCATATGTAATATAGCAGTTGCTGTGATGACAGTGCTTGTCATCCAAAGAGTTCCAACATAAGGAACATGTAAGCCCTTAATAACATGACGTATCAAAACACAAACAATACTATATTAGAATACTGTATTGTAATTATTGCAATAAATTGCTTCTAGAATGTATAAATAGCATTCAGACCAAATTGGTCATGAGTCATTATGTTTAACTTGTCTCCATTCATTTGAACAGATTTTATGAGTAAACATATTGATTAGTATTTCTCTTGAGAAACTTCATTGGAGTACAGTACACATAAAAATAATGTTTAACTTCAGAATTGGAATAAAAATGACATTGCAAACAGTTTAAACAATGGCAGAGTCATGAGTTGTGATTGATCAAACAAAACGCAGCACACAAGAACTGCCTTGTGCACTAGGTCAATTTTTTTTTCTTTATTGGTAGTGTACAAAAGCATTAGTTTCTCTGTAAGATTGACTATTCGATAATTCTGTAAAGAGCATTCAACTAAGGCATACAAACAGCTTCAACTTCTCTCTCTCCCTTCAGTAATGAATTGCTATAGGAAATCTCAGAACGCTAGAAGAATTTTCTGTCTACAATAGTATTGCTGGTGCTGGTGTGTACTTATTCTAAGTTGTCGCTAGGAATGTTGCTTCTGTATTACAGTACAAAGTTCCCAACCAATTAATGATGGACTTCAGTTAAAACTGGCAAAAAATATTCTAATAGAAGCCTTAAAGGGGGCTGTGAGTTCAAAGCTCAAAGCTGCCCTGTTACAGAACAAAATTATAAAATATATTGCAAGGCAGCATTTTATTTTGTTTGATTTCAGGCATGTATCTTGTTTGGCTAGCTAATATGCAGCTACATTTCTAATTTATTTTGAAGAATCTCATTTTGTAGTATATTATTATAATTTATAATCCTGTTCTAACATCTTAACTGGATTAGGGATAAACTATACCTACTGTAATTAGAAATGAATTTCTTTCTAACTTCCAACTTCCTCCTTACAATAGTAAAATAAAATGTTAAGGAAAATACATTAATATTGTGCCTCTAAGGCTCAGGTTTTATATTACATGTAGAGATAGATTCAAATGACAAGATTGGATTACCCGGATAAGCTTGACAATCTTGGCTTGGACTCTTGACTTAATACTGTATAAGGTGACCTACTGTAACTGTGGAAACAGAGGTAAAATAAAGTATAAATTACATTGCTTCTGACACTTCCATGTTACTTCCTACTAACCATGATATATGATTGTATATTTTCCCTCTAAAACTAGTCAGTGCAATCTCTTATTGTGCAAAATTAGAGTTTGCAATAAGCACAAGATGGATCAAAGAACACTAATGCTAAAAGTGGCTTCAGGATAAGGAGTAACTTTAATAAGATTAATGAGATTATAGACTTCTACATGGTATTATATTTAAGTAATCCATAATTCTTCAAAAGTAGAACTGCATAGATTGTTTCACACAAAGAATATTATGATAAAATTAAAATAATATTTTTCTTCCTCCTCCTCCTGGACTTTTTTTCAGACCTTCTTTGGCGGTCTTCAAACAGAGTCTATATGGTCATCCATCAGAGATGCTCTAGCACAGGGTTTCTCAACTGCACAGATTTGCAAGAGGTTTATGGGGTTCCACAAGAGACTAAAGGGGAAATAAGAAAATTCACTCAGCCAGTAACTAATTTTCTATCACCAAACCTTTGTCTTTTGATGAAGAGTTTTGGGATTTATTTTAACTAATAGAGTCTGCTGCCTGAAAAAGTTTGAAAACCCTTGCTCTACATATCCTGCACTGATCAAAGGGTGGAACTATACAGTAGTGACCAAAATTGTGGAAACCTTTTAGGAAAAGTGTACAGTAGAAATGCCACCTTTGGTTAAGTTTCCACCATTTTTTCTTCCAATTTCTTTATAACTGTAGACTTGTTCACTTAATAATACTATTTTACATCGCTTTCTAGGTAACCAGTCAACTCTTTGCACCATTAGTTTAATTTTATTACGTTTTACAAGCTCACTAAATAAAAGAACACAAAAAACCCCAAGTAACTTGATAGCAATCACATAACACACTGACAAATGTCCTCCTCTCAGCTTCAGTACATGACATCAATAACTGAATCCTACTGTGATCTGATTGGTTCATTACCAAAACAAGATGACTCCTGAATGGCTCTCTAAACACTCATGCTCACTGGCTACAATCAGATGAAGGAAAGCTACCTGATAGTTGTGCTTCCTTTTTCTGGTTATTTGGCTATAACTTTGGCTTCCTTTATCTGGTTATTTGGCTATAACTTTTCATAGGATACAGTACAGATAATTGAACAAACTTTGTTGCATTACATTCTTAACTAAATTATCTTTCCACTGATATATAATTTTATGGTACTACTCCCCCAAAAGTGGTGTTATTAGCCATCAAACCTCAAAAGTACACTTTTCTCAAAAAGTTTCCATAATTTTGGCCACTACTAACCTCTAAGATTCTTTCCAGTTCTATCAATCTTCATCCATATCAAACTAGGTGGAATAGTGTGTGAAGGCAAATATTCTCTTCAAGCCAAAACAGCAGTTCAGATTCTTCTAAAATAATGATTTATTTGATCAATGATAGGCGAACCTATGCACCCATATCAAAGGTGACATATCATGATGTTTTGCAACCAACACTCACCAATATCTGGCAATTATCCTCAAAAGCACATCTTGTGCAATTTTTGGAAATTGCGTATGCTGTGCAAGAATAGGATATGCGCTCCTGCAGTTTCCAGAAGTTCTGTTAGAGGACAGCACCTGCACAGCTTCCATGGCCTCCAAACATTGTGTGAAAACAGGATGTGCTTTTGTGCGGTTTTTGGAACAGCATGAGACAGTCATGGTGCTAGGGCTGGAACTGAGGGCCCGGCTTCTATTTAGGTCACTGAATGGGGGGGGGGGAGATAGAGAACTGTTTCTCTTTTATTCAGGTGCATGATATGACACAGCAGTAGAGTTACAAGATAGGCATTTTCCGAATCTAAAGTCTAAAATCTAAATCTCTGAAGTCAACTTCAGAGTGATGAGTCTTTTCCCAAAACAGAATTCATAATCTGAAGAGCAGAATACGTACAAAATACTTGCCATGAAAGAATGCACACAGTTGGGACTTACTCATGAGAGAATGAATGCAAGAACTCAATTTACATCAAGATTCCCATTACTCATATTGTTGCATCAGGTCTGTATTCAAATCGATATCCTGTAAAAACGGGCTTTTTTGTTGCAATGTAATCATTGGATCTATGTATGAACCCCATTAAAGTCCCCAGAATTTGGATGGCACAATACCAATTTTGAAATAATCATTCCTGATGGATAACAATGAAGATTATTGAGATTACTGAGAGATTAATCAATGATTTGTTTGGTAAAATAAAGTTGTGAATGCCTTTTCTGTTCAGAAAATATGAATGGGATTTCCTGAAGTTGGGTGAACTCTGATCAGATGAACTATTTATCACCTGTCTGACCAACAACTCCTTTTATTAGAAGCTGTAAATTTCCTGCGTGTTTGGGACCAGACTCTTGTCCTAAATCTGGGACTGCTCTTTTTTTTTTTTAGATTTGTTTTATCCCACCTTTATATTATTTTAATGATTCAAAGCAGCAAGCCTCTCTACTGCCTCCTCCTATTTTCCCTACAACAACAATCATGTGAGGTGGATTGGGCTGAGAGAGAGTGACTGGCCCCAAAACACCCATCCGGCTTTCATGTCTAAGTCAGGACTAGAACACATAATCTCCTAGAGCAGGGGTAGGCAACCTTGGCTCTTTTATGACTTGTAGACTTCAACTCCCAGAATTCCTGAGCCAGCTCTACCCCTGTTCTAGAGTCTAGCTTGGTTCCTCAACTAACAAAGCCTTTGATTTGATATTAGGTGAGTGGTCGTTAAATGGACTGAAAAATGGGGAAAGAGACACACTGAGTGACAGAGTACTGTAATGACTAGGGCAGAGGTGTCCTTCAAATATTCTTGACTGCAGTCTTTGGCTATTAATGCTGGCTAGATTTGATGGAAATTGAAATCTGAAACATCTGAAGACAATGAATTTGCCTTTCTTTGACTAAAATAGTATTGATAAAACCTGATTGAGGTTCCTCACAGATCTGAAATTCCTACGCCTCACGTGGTCTCTGTATCCCCATTCTATTTCTCTGAAATCTTCTGATAGTTAAAAGTTATGAAGAGAATTGATTTGGCCTGTAAAAGAATATTGAAAAAACAGCTTGTTTCTTGGAACAAAAACATGTTCACAAATATCTTTATTGTGTTACCTATTTTTTGTTGGTGATTTGTTAAACTATTTTGCACAGGTGTTTGGAAGTTAGTTTGTGAATTTAAGTGGTGCTTTCAGTATTTCAGAACTACTCTTTCCTTTCACTGTGAATCCTGTTTGTCCTGATATAAACACAGTGGTATAAATTCAGAGTTCAGAGAACTTCTACTTCATTGTAATGGCCTCTCCTTGAAGCTTTTGGATTTTGTAATGTATCTCCCACACTCACACACACTTTCTCTCTCATGCAGACACACATGCACCCTCCTGAATCCCCCACTCCTCAGTTGCACTCATGAAAAGACAGGTATCAATGGCTCCTGGTGTATAATCATTCCTCTGGTGCATGCTAACTCTTTCATTTCTTGTGGTACTGTGAACAATGTATTACAAAAATTACTCTGTGCTCTAAGCCCTTCAGAATTAGAAGAGATGTCTACTGTGGATTTTAAACCGAATATGGAAGGTTGCTTCAAAATGGTCTGACTTTTGTTCATTCTTTAAGCTTCTGGCTGAGTGAATATAAGACTAACTATGATTCTACATCTAGCATAAATAACTTCATCAATAAAATACATGGTGAATACACATCTTGTCACATCTGGATTACTTAGACTGATCCTTCTGTTACACTGCTAAAGATTTCTGGGGTCTATACTGGTTATTTCTATCTATCCTGGCTTAAAACCAGAAGTCAGTGGATGGAAAGTGAGGCTAGGCATGTGCCAGATGTTGTCCTTGATTTATAAACATTTTCTTGCCAAACACACAATAGGCAATTTATTGCTATAAAAGAGCATTTGTCGACTAGCGAGATATGTTAGCATCCTTAGTTCTGAGCACATCTCTTAAGCATCTCTTATTATAAATGTATATTTAATTCCTTCCTCATAGCTTGGCTCATAAAATATGAGATGTCATAGAAAGTATAATGAATGAATCTTCAGAGGCTCTTAACATCATTTGAAAGATGAAATTACCTGCTTCTCCTTTAGCGCTTGGAATATTACAAGCCTTGAAGGTTTAACTGAGGATTAGTAAATTGGAGAGTGTCCATTATCAGACCAGGCTTATGGTCTGATAATGTCTCTTGCTTCATTTCCCTTAGTGCTTTATTCACAGATCCCTGAAATTACATAACAAGTGACGTTTTCAGAGAAGCTGTCAGGAACGTTTTTACTCTTTTTCCAAATGTTGCTATTTCTCCAGCTTGCAACGTGTCTAATCCATTTTGAAAAAGTTTGCTGCAGTTTAGTCAGCTTGCATAGACAAGTTTGTAGCTTAATTCAACACTGCATTAAAAGACCCAGGATGAAATGTAAGAAGTACGTAGCTATTCTTGAAGCTGCAGTTGGAATCACTCCTCTTAATAAGAGAGAACTGCTCCCAGTGGTTCGACATGTAAATCTCTGGCAGCAACCCGGGTGAGTCCTAGGTTGGGTGAATGAATCATTGCAAAGATAAATATTTACTCTGAATATTGTCTGCAGATTTGCAGCATGCATTATGCGTAGCTTGGCTGTGAAAGTTGGACCATAAGAAAAGCTGAGCGCCAAAGAATTGAGGCCTTTGAACTATGGTGCTGGAGAAGACTCCTGCGAGTCCCTTGGACTGCAAGGCGTTCAAACCAGTCAGTCCTAGAAGAGATCAACCCCGACTGCTCTTTAGAAGGCCAGATCCTGAAGTTGAAACTCAAATACTTTGGCCACCTAATGAGAAGGAAGGACTCACTGGAGAAGGGCCTAATGCTGGGAAAGATTGAGGGCAATAGAAGAAGGGGACGACAGAGAATGAGATGGCTGGATGGAGTCACTGAAGCAGTAGGTGTGAACTTAAATGGACTCCAGAAGATGGTAGAGGACAGGAAAACCTGGAGGAACGTTGTCCATGGGGTCGTGATGGGTCGGACACGACTTCGCAATTAACAACAACAACAAATTATGCGTAGCTAGTTATATTTCCTCAATGGCAAAAATGTAATGCTCTTTTCGAGTGTATATTTGGCTGAGATCAGTCAAGGCATGGTGGGTTACAGCATTTAAACCTCTTGGGTAAGCATTTGGGATGAAAACGATATAGTGAAGCCAGGGCAGATTCAATGCAGCAGCAAATCTAAATGGGGATATAATGGCATTTCTACTCTTGTACTTTCAGGGACAATCTGCACCCAGGCAAAACAGATATACCAAATTCCTTTAGGAAAATGTTCTTATTGAAAAAGTGAATTTTGTATCCCTTATTTAAAATAAATCTCTATGGGATATCTTCTAAATCTGTTCTATTTTCCTAATTTAACTCTGTTCTAGTCTCTGTTGCTATTCTTCCACTTGATGTTAATGTTTATTGTCCTATAGCTTTTTCTATTCTACCTTTTGTTATTACACACTTTTTGCTTTAGGTTTCTAATATTCCTCCCCCCTTAGATGTGACTTTCTTTCAGTTATGTTTTCTATATCTGTTCCAGGATCTCAGCATTATTAATACTGATCCAGGTCCACAGCATCACCAACCACCTCTCCCTTGGTTAACTTCTGTTGAAGTTGGTCTCTGTTATCGCTAGATCTGGACTATTTCTGGTGGGACTGTTTCAGACGTTGTATCGTCTAGAGCTTTTCCATTTCAGTTTATTTAGATGACTCATTGCTACTGCTAGGGTTCAATGGCCGACTGCCCAGGCTACCTTTACTGGCTTCTGTACCTCCTATCTGGGCTCTTCTAAGGCTTTAGACAATCAGGAGCCCTTTCCTGTTGAGTTGTCTTTCGGTTGTGTTCACTTGCTCTGCGTTCCACCCATGCGGGTGCTTTGGGCTCTGTTGTTATAAGCCATGCCATAGACTCAAGCTATTCCTGGTTCTCCTGCCAATTCTTTCTTATGGCCTGGTTGCTTATTTCACTTGCCAGCCCTGGACTGCTATACTACTTTAGGTGTTGATGCTTTTTGATGCTTTCCTCCTTCAAGAGCCATATTTACTTTCCAATGTGTCCTGAGCCTACTTTCCACCAGTTTAGCTGATGTTCCATTGACACCTTCCAGCTTTGTGTCACCACCCCAGGCTCTTCACCTGTCACCACTGCTACCATAATCTTTGCCTTTACTGAAACCACTGTAACTCTATGGATTCTCTCCTGTGCTATTACCACCATGTCACCTTGGTTGTTGTCTTGGAGCACCCAGAGAATGTATCTAGGTGTCCTCTTACTTGTTTCCTTTTTTTCTAATTGTTTTTGAGTTCCTTAGCTATCCTTTTTCTTCCTAAAATTTTTGGGACACAAGTTTCTCAAGCCACTTTTATCCCACCGAGGTTTTCTTTAAAGGGCTTAATTTTTTTATCTGGTGAAACTTTTAACTTGTTTCTTGGGAGAAGAAAGGTGCAGTCCCTTGTATTTACCCGATTCGGTCCACTCGTATTTGTATCACACATATCAAAGGATCCATCTAGAGTTTATGTGCAATTGGCGACCTACACATTTGATTGATTAATTGATTAATTGATAGATAGATAGATAGACAGACAGACAGACAGACAAGCAAGCAATCAAGCTTTCAGTTTCTAAATTTTAAACAGATTTTCTTATCCTTATGAAAAATCTTTCATCTTTTTAAGATTGCATATATTTTCTCTGAGAAGAACCTTAGAATAAAATGCTTAGATCAGTGTTTCTCAACCTTGGCAACTTTACGATGTGTGGACTTCAACTCCCAAAATTCTCCAGCTAGCAATTCTAGCTGGAGAATTCTGGGAGTTGAAGTCCACACATCGTAAAGTTGCCAAGGTTGAGAAATACTGGCTTAGATGCTGTGGAATTATATCCAAATGAGCATCCATGTGCATCAGACATTATGTATAGATTTACATCTCACATTCCCTCCCTCAGGGTAGACTCCATAATGCTTCCTCCTCCAGTTTTATTTCCATAGAGAATGGGGTAGGTTGAGGTAAGGATCAAGGGATAACCAAATGTGGCTTCGTAGCCACATGGGAAGCAAATGGTGTCCCTTGCTGCATTAGTAGATGCTGTCACCGGGGCGTTCGATTGTGCTCGTTCTCAACTGCCTGCTGCCCCAAATGTAAGGTTTTGTGCAAACAAACAAAATATGTTATTGATTGATATCATTAGGTAATGCTCACAGTGACTGGTCCAGAGTCATCCAATGAGTTTGCCCTTGAATCTGGACTTCTGGTCTTAATCTGATGCTCTTAAATTGCAAGGTACAGGGGCTTATGCATGTTTGCACTTCTTTGTCTATAATGCAAGCAAAGAAAGCCCCATTGTTTCCCAGTCTAAAATTGTTGCATGCAGTATAAAAGAGTCTCATACTGGAGACAAAACAAATGCACATGTTCTCTCTCTGGCTGTTAAGGAGTCACGAGGCTGGTAATGGATTGATGATATGCTTCAGGCAATTGAGGAGAATACATATGTAATCCACCATAAATAAGGATCTTATAGCTTAAAGATGAGGTTCATCTTTTTAAAAATCCAATACATTAATCATTATCATGATCTGACAATCAGGCTGGTTAAGCTAATATTGACCATACTATTGATTGCCAACAGAACATGAAAATAGATGCCTTGTGCCTCCTTACATTGTAACTTTAATCAAATGTACAGTATCTGGTTCATTTATAAAACCCTTCAGAGGACTGATGTATCATGGAGTGAAATTCATAAACTACTTCTGGCAAACTAAAAAACATCATTGAAATGCAAAAATAGAGTCTGTTGATTCCACTCACGTATGTACAGAATGCAAACAGGTCATTTCAGCTTCGATGTATATGGATGCATCTCAGTTATGTTCCTTTAGGTAGCAGCCTTCCCTTATGATGTAATTGGGATTCCTTGCTTAGGTGGAAAAACTTTGATTTGGGGTTTTACTGATTACCGTAGATAGATCTGTTGTTATGGAAATGGCTGGTTTATTCTGTTATGTAAAAGTAAAAAGTTGATGTTACTATCTTATTCTACTGCACCAAAGGGAGTCAGAAGTCAATGGCTTTTCTTTCTTTTCCCCTTCTTTTCAACACTTTTCCCTTTTCCCTCCCGTTTTCCCTGCTATTTGCTTTTGTATTTTTGTATTTTATATTATACAGATATATTTCTAAGAGAAAATCTGTCCTAATTTGGTCCTTCAGGTCTTCCAATATTGTCACTCTAGCTGAGTCTATCCATTTTTCTGCTGGTTGGAATTAGGACAGTGCTGAAAAAAAATGGACTTGTGACTGGTCCCCAAAATTATGGCCATTGCAGTGCCCGTCCCCAGCAGTCACGTAGTCAAAATTCCATACTAAAGCCTGCCTGCTGGACCATGCAGGGACATTTCAACTCCCCCATCTGCCTATCTTCCCCCATCTCTGCCCTTTGGGATGCCCGGCATTCCACCACATACTTCTGCCCCCGTCACTATTGCCCCCTGTTCCCTACACATGATCATCATCATCTTCCTCCTGTTGATGGACCAGGATCCAGTTACTGAGTGAGACTGTGGCCCTGGAATGCATGCACTAGGGGTGATAGGGTGCCAGAGCCTTGTCTGCTGAAGAGGGCTTGCCAGGCACAGCTGGAAGGAGGCAGAAGGATAGAGAGACGTGGCACTCTCTGTCACCAGGTCAAGCATAACCCTAACCTAGTGGTTTTCAACCCGTGGTACGCGTATCACTGGCACCTGGCAGATGGTACTCATACGGTGGGTTGAAAAGCGCGGTTTAAAAAAAAAGTATTAAAAAAAGTCTAAAAGTGTAGTGGGGGATGAACTGAAGCGGTGGCAATGCCACACAGGCCTGTGGGGAGAGTCAGCTGGAGCTGCGGTGTTGCCAGGGCTCTGCTGAGCGCCCACGATTTGCGCAGGGCTCCAGCTGATTGGTGCTTCCAGAACTAGGCAGCCTGGGGGAAAGGAGCCAGCTGCAGCTACACTGAAGAGAAAAGGAGGATGAGGGAGAGAGAGGAGAGGATATAAAAGGAGGAGGTTTTAGCGGGAAAGGGAGAGAAAAAATATGACAGGGAAAGAGAAGGGGACAGAGTAAGAGAGACAGAGAAGAAGAGAGGCTTCTTTGAGTCAACCAAAAGAGAGAAGGGGATAGAACAGTGCAGAGATTAATGTCAGAGATAACAGGAACAAGTTTCCCATTAAAAGTGTGGTAACTGGGTGTACAGATAGTCCTCAACGTACAACCACAATTGAGCCCAAAATTTACGTTGCTAAGTGAGAAATTTATTAAATGAGTTTTGTCCCATTTTATGCTCCTTGCCACATTTGTTAAGTGAATCACTACAGTTGTTAAATTAGTAACACAGTTCTTAAGTTAATCGGGTTTCCCCATTGAAATTTGCTTGTCAGAAAGTCACAAAAGGGGATCACATGACCCTGGGACACTGTGACCATCATAAGTATGAATCAGTTGCCAAGTACCCGAATGTAAATCACAAGACCCTGGGGATGCTGCAGTGGTCATAAGTGTGAAAAATAGGCTTGCCATCTTTGTAGAACAGCTTCAACTTAAAGGATGGGCATCCTTACCTTTATGTTCTTCTACATCATTTCTACAGAATTAAGGCCAGGACATTATCTTGGCCATGCTAACTCATCAATTTTCTTGGTCTTTAACCATTCTTTGGTCTCATGACTTATGTCTTTTGGGTTGTTGTCTAGCTGCATGACCCACTTACTCCTGAGCTTCAGGTCATAGATAGATACTATGACACTTTCCTATGGAATTTGCTGATAGATTTTGGGATTCATAGTTTCATCAACGATGGCAAGATGTCCTGATCCAGAGGCAGCAAAGCAGATTCAAATCATAAGAGCCAGTTTGGTGTAGCGGTTAAGATGCTGGCTTAGAAACCAGGAGAGTGCCAGTTCTAAACATCTTTCATCATAAAAGCTGGCTGGGTGACTTTGGCCCATCATTCTTTCTCAGCCCAACTCACCTCACAGGATAGTTGCTGGAGGGAAATAGGAGTATTGGGTATGTTAAAAAGATGGGATAAAAATATAACGACAACAATTACACTGTCACCACAATAGATGGGATAAAGTTCTAAGGCTGGAAGGCGGTGTTTGCTTTTTGCCAAACATAATACTTTACATTTAAGCCAAAAAGTTTGATTTTAGTCTCATCCATACATACCACATCCTTTCAATAGCCTTCTTGGCTGTCCACATGAACTTTTGCAAACTGTAGATGGGCAGCAAAGGTTTTTTTTTTTTTGGACTCTTCTTGGAACCTTGCCATTCACACCATTGTTCTTCAGTGTTCTCCTAATGTTTTTGACACATTTGTTTTTAATTTGTTTAGGTTTTGGACCTGCGTGGAAAACAAACAATATTTTAGATAACGTTTATGCTGAAATATTAAAAATGTAAAAGGGTTCACAAACTTTTAAACACCACCGTACGTTATCAAAGTTTGGTCTAATGCAGCGGCCCCCAACTTTTTGGGGGCTCCAGGGATCAGTTCCAAGGAGAAAGGTTTTTCTGCAGACTGGAGGGGGCATGGTTTTGCATGCTGCCTGCATATCATGGATCGGGCTTTGCTTGTTTGGGCATCCCAGTTGCTGGTGCCTGTCCATGGACCGGGGATTGGGGACCTCTGGTCTAGTGGAAACCAGGAGACTCCTGTTTTAACCATGAAAGCCGGCTAGGTGATCTTGGGCCAGTCTCTCTCGGCTCATCTCCCAGTGTTGCTGTTGTGGGGAAAATAGGAGAAGGAAGTTGCATTGGATATGTTCTCCGCCTTGACTTATTTGTAAAAATAATAAAGGCAGGATATATACACACAAACAAATCAATGAATAAAAAGTCAACGTTTGATATGTTTCACAGAGGTTTTCTAATAGGTTTGATATGTTTTGATATGTTTTGATATGTTTCACAGAGGTTTTCTAATAGGTTTTCTCCAAGTATTTTAGGCATAATGTAATTTTTCATAGTAGCATCAATTTCTTAATTTTAAAAGTTATAAATTTAACTCAAAACAATAGAATTACTTTAGACTGGAACAACTTCATTTGATTCCTCTCTTGTCTTTGAGACATTGGAATAATAATTTCAGAGTAGCTAAATGTTTACCATAAGAATTATTGGCTTGTTCAAAGACTTCAAATGCATACGCCCATTTTGTGTATATGTTTCAACAGCACACCCAGGATTTAAACATACCACATGAAAAATAGTGCAGGAGTAATTAAACATGATTATTCTACCACCAACTGGGAGGAGATATGAATTATAAAGACTGTTATTGAAACTTTGCTGCATTTTTAAAACTTCTACAACAGTATTCAGTGTACAGGTTTCTTTGCAGGTTATTCTTGTTTACATAAAACTGGCCCCAAGGGAGATGCGAAGCTATATTATATGCTAAATGAGAATTAAAATTCTGTGTCCAAGCATCTTAGTTCCAATTAAAAATCTGCATTTGGAGATCTGTATCACAAGCTGAAGTAATTGTATACATTGATAAAGCTTTAGGAAAATATAACAGTTAAAGATATAAACATGATGTTGGATTATATTCCTTAATTGTGGAATTAAATATTAAAACTGGGATTTGCCAAAGGGAATTTTTTTACATAGAGCAGCGGTTCTCAACCTGTGGGTCGAATGACCATTTCACGGGGGTCGCCAAACAATGCAGTCCACCATTTTTTCCCCTTTTCCTTAGCTGTGCTATTCCCTTTTATTCTATTGGCCTTTGAAAGCCAATAGAATAGACTCTCTTGAATAGAGTCTAATTCTATTGGCTTTCAAAAGCCAATAGGAATTGTCCAGGCTGTCTCTGCCCTGCTGAGCCCACCAAAAGTCCCATTCTGCAAACGGTGCTGCAAGTTGTCTGCAGTGAAGGCGAGCTGTCTGGAAGTTTCCACCCCTCCCTGCTGAGCAACTACTAAAAATGTAAGTAAAAGAGGGCCATGGGTGGGAGGTGGGAGGCCGGCGGGCGCAGGAAGGGTTGCTGGCATGCGTGGGGCTCGGCAGATGCCTTACCTCCCTTGGGCTGGGCCAGTGGTGGCCCAGCCAGTGGTCGGTCTGCGCCATCTCTGCCACTTGCCAGCTACGCCTCGGCCGGCGCAGGGGGCGGCACCATGCATGCGTGGTGCTCCCGGGCAGAGAAAGTCCTCCACTTACGACGGTTGGGTAGTCATCGACGTACGACCGGTTGGGGGTCGCGGCATTAAAAAGGTTGAGAACCACTGACATAGAGGGAAACAAATTTCATATTAAAAGGAGTGTTCTTTACTGACATTTAAATGTCTTCATAGATACAGGATTTTATTTGCAATTATGAATACTAGAAACTTTTTTAAAGATGCACAAACCTGTTTCAGTACTCTACTTTAGCATGGATTTCTATTATGGTTGTTGTTGTTTTCAGTTTCAGCCAGGAACTTTATGAAGACGCTTTATTTTAATTACATTTCATTTTGTTCTTCCAAATTGCTAAAAGGGTGGGTATGGTTCTCACCCATCACCTTTCCCAGGGAGATAGATTAGGATTAGATGGGTTCCATGGCTGAATGTAACTTGGTTTCTCCAGAACCGCAACAACTATATTACTTCTCTTGCTCATTTACTCCCAGGATAATTATTATAAGCGCTAAAGTGAACAATGCAATTCTAAGCATGTTCGTTCAGTTTCTTATTCTACATTCTGGGTTAGAAATAAGCCATCAACACTGGGAAAGTCATGGTCTTTTTGTAATTTGTTTTTATCCCCTCTGTTATTAACTGTCTGTCATTGAAAAGTTGGCTGCTGTTGTATGCTAGTAGAAATAAGACAACATCTCCTGTCATAAATATCTTGATGTATAAAGTATAAATCCTATTGATATATAAAATATGTGTCTATAATAAACTAAACTTAAAAGTTTAAAGCTGCAGCAGAGCTCTAGGGCTTGAAGAAAAGTTGTTGCACAGGAAATAAATATTTGGGATAATCAGAATGAAATCCTGTTGAGTTCAGCCGTGCTTATTCTTAAGTAGGGTGGCACAGCAGCTGCGCCCACCAACACACCCTTTACATGTATTAGACCAAAACTTACCCAAATGTAGGCTTTCAATTATGCTGGATGAGAGTTATGGAAATTGTGAAAAAAAAAATCTCTGAAGGGCATCGTGTCGGGAATACAATTACATTCTAAGTGTCTGGGATCGTGAGTCTACTCATGTAGGAATACATCCCACTTAATTTGACTGTTTTACTATCAAGCAGACTTATTAAGAATAGTATTGTGAATGAATGTTAATTTTAATTCAGGGTCAGCATTATCTTGGATCCATTAGCTGCAAGGATACAACTCAAATGCAATTTGCCTTCATTCAGGAATCAGAAAAAGTAGCTTTGGAAGACACAAATAGGCTAGAACAGGGGTCCTCAACCTTGGCAACAAAGCTGGCTGAGAAATTCTGGGAGTTGAAGTCCAGAAGTCTTCAAGTTGCCAAGGTTGAGGACCCCTGGGCTAGAACCTAAAATAAATGGAAAAAAAATATGGTGATGAATTACAGGTAATCCTTGCTTACAGATTGCCTTATTTAGTGATTATTCAAAGTTACACTGTAAAAAAACCCAGTCCTTACATTTATGACCATTGCAGCTGTGATCACATGGTCGCCATTCTTGTGCTTTACAACCAGCTTCCAATAAACAGAATTAATGAAGAATATGGAAGCAAAATCGCAAGTTGTTGTTATGTGATGATTCACTTATTGACTGAATGGGAAGTGACATTGTGAATCCATCGCAGTCATATGATTTTCCACTTGACAACCATGGAGTTGCTGGTCACAATGATCACTAAGCATGGTCTAGTACACTGTGTTATTTACATCTCAAAATGATTTGTTAGTTATGCTTTTTTCTTTGAAATGAGGTCATCTGTGCTTTGAGGGTGGTTATAGCATGTTAAGGTCAGACTTTTGCACACCCAACAATTTGCTTCGGGGTACAATTCTGTGTATCTATTCTAAAATAGAGTAAATAGATAAATCAGCGTCAAATGCAATGTAATTTTCTTGTTGACCAATTGTTATGTACAGGCAGGATCTCCACCCTGTACAATAAAATGTATACTCATAAAGCCGTACAAAATTTTAGAACAAAATGGAAGTCCTTTTTCTTTCAAAATATCCCTGTCTGATTAAATATTTCCTTAAAATGAAAGGTCCTTGGATTGGGAAGGGCAACAGATTGGAAAAATATTGTCTACCCAGAAACGGTTGTAATTTAGCAACTTCAGTAAGATTTTTGTTGAAGATAAAGAAAAGCTGAATATTTTTGACTTCAGCTGTTCTCATATATAGGTTTGGAGTTGTTTTGGCTTGCTTACCTGACTTCATTTAAAACATACTTTGCGGTCTGTGTTCTGCAAACTGTTTTTAAAGTGTGCCTATAATACCTTCATATGGTTTTGAGAAATAGAGTGTGGAAAATTTCTGTGGCCTGTTTCTCTTTGATATATACTTATATCCCTCCCTTTTCCCATCCTGGAGCTCGGAGCAGCCTACTGGTCCCATAGAACAGTTTTCTTGTCCGTTCTTCACTGCCTTTAGTTCAGAGGTATCCAAGCTTGGCAACTTTAAGACATGTGGACTTCAACTCCCAGAGTTCCCCAGCCAGCATGGTCTAGCAAAGGTTGGACACCCTTGTTTTAATTGATATATGGCAAATTATTGGGACTTAATCAGAAATTCAGTAGGTTCTCTTTCCCCATTTTGAGATTCAGGTTATCCCTATTCAGGAAATCCCTATTCCTTAGCTGCAGTGTTTCTTCCCAAACTATTCTTAAAATAGGGATTTCAGAAAAAAGTACACAAGCAGGATAAGAAATTTAAAGCTTCAATACCCAATGGGTAAACTTGCAGATGAATTGATAGTCCTTCTGAAAGATGTTGAACTGGCTTAGATATGAGGTAGGCCATAACTGTATTTTATTTCTTAATATTTAATTAACCTTGGAACAGCACATAGGTGGTGTGATCGGAACAGCACAAATATCTTTGTAGAAAATATGTTGCCAATTTTAATCTCTTTTTAGTATCTGGGGGGGACGGTTGAAAATTAATAAGAGGGTAAGTTCGTTAAGCCAAGCTGAACTTATTTGTGGTCTTGATTTGTTCAAAGAAAGGAAAGCCAAAAATTGCACTTCTTGAAATCAGGTTCATGGGCATTGAGAGATTGCAGACTTGGAGTGTCTGGTGTATGAATGTATAAAAGGTGTGTAGGCTGTATTCTCCAGCATGATGATGTAGCATCCACTGATAGGGTAATCAAAGCCTTCCTGCTCAGATTTAGACTAAGACCAAACTTGAGCCACGCCTCCTTTGGGCATTCCTTCCCCAGTTTTGTCTTAGTCCTTGCTCAGATAGGACACAACTTTACTAGCTCCTCAGTAGTTTTGGTTAATACAGTTAGAATTAGGTTAGAAAGTTAGCAATTTAATTTAGTTTTAGTGTTTAACAACTTTCAGATAGTAATTTTGTAAGAGTCACAGCTTTTAGGACGAATTTGGGAGCGTTCGGCTCCAAAGGGCCCAGCGGGCCTCATGGATCGTCGGAGCTCTGCCGCTTCGGCAGCGTTAGCTCAGATCAGCTGTTGAGCGCAGCTAGGGAGGCTTCCCTTGCGCCTGAGAGCGGATTTCTTCCAGCGCTCAGGGAAATTCAGCCGAACACTAGATTGCCTCTCTCGCCTCGTAACCATGAGGCTTCCATTGAGGACAACTCAGAGTCTCCCCTACGCTACAGAATCGCAAGTTTAGTGGTGCCTTGTTAATGCAGGAGGGTGCAAGTGGTGTAATTTCCCTCTCTTGGTCTCCCTGAACGGGGAATTCAAGCAAAGGAGCTCAGAGAGCTTCCTGTGAGCTCAGCTAAGGGGAGAAGCCGTCTTTAGGTGCCAACGAGACTCGCCATTTTGAATTCTGTGCTGGGTGTGGTCGCCATTTGAAGATCATCTTTGTGACTCTGAAACAGGCCTATTACCAGTAACCCACTGTGTTGGGTTCTTGTGAGGGTTTATCAGTTGGCCTTTTCTCCAGCTTCTTCATAGAGCCTCCTTACTAGGGGGTGTAATTCGTCGTGGACACTTGTAGTCTTAATTCTGGGGTAATTTCTGACCTGTTCTCCTTAGAGCCCGGCGCTATGTCGGAAGGGCCCAAACAGACAGTTTTAGATAGCTGTTCTGGCTGTTTGCCATTGTGGTTGCCTTAGGGCATGGGAAGCTGCCCTCCCGGACAATTTGATCTGCGTGTTTACCCCCACCCCAGGGCTTCTCCTATCTGGAAGGTCCAGGGCACAATGGCAGATGGTCAGACTCCTCAGACATTGCAGGGTTCTGATGTTCCCTCCCCCCCCCCTCAATCTAAACACAGATCTTCTGAAGTGAACACCGGGGGAAAGAAAAAAGCTAAAACCAAGCATTTAACAACCAAAGAACCCTCCAAATCTGCTGAGCGAGAGGCCTCAAAGAGACATCAGGCACTGGAGAAAGAATTCTCCAAAGCACAGAGGCTCAGGTCCAGCGAAGCTGCAGTGGTTCCCCTGTTCTCTGGGCAGTTCACCTTATGAGCCCCTGCTGGTGCCTTCTTATCAACCCCCCAGGGCTTAGTCTCCTCAAGGGGGAACTGAACAGGTCGGTCTACCTGCCCCTATCCAGCTT